CTGGCCAGGGAAATCCACCAGACCTCAGCTCTTTGGGCTACCCGTGTCTTTTCGGAACGTGTTTTCAGCGCTCTAGGGTCAGTTATTAACTCGAGAGCATTTAAATTCAATTTACACGTGCAGGCTAGAAAATACCGAGTTGAGTTACTTCAGCAAACAAATAAAATATGGTGATCACACATAGTCTACTTCTGGTAGACGAGCCTATAAAAATACTATGCAACAATAATAATAATAATTATAATTATAAGATAGCTATATTTGGATACGGCAGTTACAATAATTTTAATTGTTTAAATTGCATTAAGAAACTAACCATTTTCTTATTCCCTGCTTTCATATACACCATAAATACACCATTTGGCGTTTGGATGTGATTTTTAAAAGGAAAGCTGCAGCAGCAGCGTTGTTCCCATCTCCTCTCCACCCAGGCCGCCATCCCTCCCTCTGACCCCGCGTATGTGCAGGGGGATGCCGGGTAAAACCCAGCAGAGGCAGCGCTGTTTCCCCATTCTTCACGTTAAGCCATGCTCGCGGGGATGGAGGCTGTAGTAAAATGAAAAGACATGACTTTAGCGGAAATGTTAATGAATAGGCTATGTGAAATTGTCAGACGTCATGAAGTCCAGTGATTTAAACTTCGGGATATGTTCATAGAGACGATCTGATTAAAACTTTTACAATGTGTTTTTGTATCACTCTGGTAGTAGGCCTACCTATGGCTGCGTGATTATATTAATATTATAATGTTACGAGCTCTTGACCTTTGCACTACTTAGCCTATTTTTAATTCGTGGAGATCTCGGACTTTTAGTCGTATTGATTGATTACCAGTCGCCATACACTTACAGTAGGCTGTAAATGGGAAAGTGTTAAAGTATTTTGTTATAATATCAAACTGTAGCCTATTCTGTAACTGAATAAATTAATTTAAATATTAGGATGCAATAAAGCTCATAGCCTACCTCCATACATGAAATTCAGATTCAATTTAGTCTATTTAAAGTCTGTAAACAACTTCACAACTGCAGGAAGGATGTAAGTGCTTTTGGCTCAAAACTCAAAAAGGGTCCAAATGTGTAGCCTATACCAAGAGAAGAGAAATATGGGTGTGGGGAGAGAAAATACCATATTTTTTATTGTCCCTTGAATTCCACACCATTTCTCAGACATGAAGCTTATAAATCCATTGTTAAAGAGAGGGGAAACGGAGCTCTGTCTTTTCTCGATGGAGTTAACACCTTAACACAGAAGCTCTGCTCTCTGTTAAATCAGACTCATGTGGGGACATACAGTCCCACGTAGCCCACACTCCGCGTGGCGTTCCACTTAATTAAAGGAGGAAGTCTTTATTTTTAAATTATACAGTTGAGTGGAATAAATGTAGCCTCCCCCTCCCCCCACCCCCTCTGTTAGCTCCATAGCGCAGTATTAATACTCATCTCAATGTATACACGCGCACACACGCCTATTGGTTTGTTAGGGTGTTATCAGGAGCCCAAACCAGAGTTTATATACTGTATGGTTGTGATATAATAATCTCAGGCTTGACGCTTTTAACTGTTTCTTGGATTGTGTATTTAGAAGCATTGTGTCACATGAGCTGAAAATATTCTAAGAACGCTAATCACTGTCCTTGTGCAGGATTCATTTAATAATTAATTTTTTATTCCACTTGAGACTATAAATATGGGATTTCAGCATTATAATTATTTATTTATTTGTCAGAGAAGCAGAAAAAAAATGTGTGCTTGCGAACTGCAGGTTTCATCATTACGCAGCAAGGCGTCAGTGCTGCTGCCCAGACTCAAATTAATTCACACACGCACACACCCACACACACACACACACACACACACACACACACAGAAAGAGAGAAAGAGAACACTGAAAGAAAAAAAAGGGACACAGCTAAGTAACTAAGTCTCCCATAACATACACAACTTTAACAAATTCTCCCCTAGTGGCTCCAAACGTCAAAGGATTTGTTTGGCTTATTAATATTTTACGCCAAAATATTATGAGCTTCTGAGTGACCTTGTGCGAAGGGGCGAGTGGCATGCAGGCAAGCGCTTTACAGCTGAGAGATTAAACATAAAAACGTCCGGACAGCTTTTATCGGTCTCCGTGTATTTAATTGTCTCAAAGATCAATGCAAAGTGCTGACCCTAACGGCGGCATGTGTCGGTCAGCATTATCCGTAACTTCGTTTTCCCAAACGTGCAGCCACCGTCAAGAGTCACTTTGAGAGCAAAAAGCCGAGCTCTTCAGAAAACGTTCTCTTTTTTAATATTAAAACCAAACCGTGTTTAAGACTTGTTTTGTGCCTCTTTTTTGACGTATTCTTTCTATTGTTATTCTATAGAAGTTACAGTCTGCTGGTTCCCAATCCGCACTGGAATTTAACCCTCAAACGCCAGCAGCAGGATAATGGCTTGCCTCTGCTCCCAGTATGGCCCCTCCGGGCTCCAGCAGCAATAGCAACAGCAGCAGCAGCAGCCGTGTCGGGGCCAGACAGCCTGCCAGCCCCGGCTCCCCTTATCAACCTCGGGGCTTTGGCCTGGACCATACACCGCAGAGTCCCATTAATCAGAGAAACATCACGTCAAAAATGGCACATTGAGCGAAGTCTGGATAAAGATTCTTAGAAAAGTTGCTCAATATATTGTAAAGGTCGAATAGCCTTTGGGCGATTTTAGCTGTATCCCTGTGTGTCCATATAGCAGGTTACATATGGTTGTGAATTGGTTCATTTTATTGTATTATATCCTCTGTAGAACCACTATACTCTGGATTTGGCTTTTTCTACAATATGCCGGTCTAGTTGTAGTTTTGCCACAGGCCTAATACATATAGTTGTTTATGGAGGGGAATAACGATTATTTTATCGATCATCTCTGCACACATGCTTTATGCAAATGCATGCCAGCTTTAAAAATGTTTGTTTTATGAGTTGCTCAAATGTTCAGCTTCTTTGCAGGAGTGTTATTAAGGCCAGCTTACTGAGGTTTCTCTCTGCTTCGTGTATTAAACCGGGTAGGCTTGCACCACCTCATGTGCAGTGGTTGCAAATGCTGCATGCGTAAATGTCTGCGGTTTCCCTCTTGTTATTTTTGCAGGCTCCGCAGACCTACCGCTTCTTCCGTCACACACCCCTTAAATACACCGGGGAAGGGATTCCCTCATTACTGTAAGAGCTGAACAGAACTGAAGATGAAGCCATCTTTGAGTCGTCATCAGTTGTATTGTTAGTTTAAACTGCCTACAGTGTGGAGAAACACTAGGCTACTGTTGATCTTTTTAGGATCTAGTTCCTTTCACCTGACACCTCTTTGCCTCAGGACAAAACCTTTATCTGTTATTTAATTGAAGACTGGATATGTCTAATGTTCCCTAAACGCCTATTTACATTTATGAATTTACTCGTGTCATGGGGTGAATTAAAAGGCGGAGGAAAATTATTGACAAAGTAGTGCACGCCATTTGAAAGATGAAAAGCAGCTGTATTCCCAAAATAAAAAAAACATATCAAAGTTTAAAAATCACTTCTTTGTTTTCATAACCCTTTCCTAATGCAAACCCCGGGTCAATTTCTCCATCAATAAATGTGTTTAACCCCCCTCCCCCAGCAAAACAAAACACGATCCAACTTGAAAGAAAAGGGGAGGCTGACAATTACACTCAGTCGCGTTTAATGAATACTTCATAATTAAAAAAAAAAAAAAAGAAAGGGAAAGTGCATAAGAAATCCACCGTTCAAGTTTCCATTTCGAGTGCAGTTCTCCTATATAGTATATTCACAACAGGAAAGTAAACCCATACACAAGAAACCCCAGAAAATTCACAAAAATAAATATTCAGTTTCATATAAACAACCAGTGACTTCAAATTCCGTGTCAAAAACCTGACCTCAAGTATTGTATCAAAAAAGCAAAAAAAGTAAATGAGGGAATGAGGAGGGCAGGGAAGTAGGGACAAGGATGAGGAAGGGGGGAGTGCATGCAGCCTGTAGCTGCTGCACGATGCAGTTGTTTACATTGATAGCGTCACTGTCAGAGAGCTATTTGTCTTAACGGTGGAAAGGCCCTCCCAACAGGCCATTACCACCATCCCCGTCCCTCAGCCGCGCATTGTGATTACTGCGTGAGAATAGGCTGGTGCGTCAGGGGGGCAAACCCGCACAGCTTTGGGCGCAGGCTATTCCTCTTCTTCCTATGCCATGCAGCCCATGCTTTTGACATGCGGATTAAAGGTTGAAAGCTTCGCTCTTGCACAACACAGCAACTCTCTTCCCCCCCTCTCAACCCCGTGCAACCCCCTCCGATTTACTGCCAGCCCGCTCATATACCAGCTTGTGTCATGGCTTCAAAAATAGCCGGTTTACAGGCTGAGAATATAAGTTCAAGTTTGAACTGTCGCTTGCAGCCTCAGAAATAAGGCCCGTGGTGAGTTTGGGGCTTCGTGGCTGCAGAGTGGTGCTTTAATCACATGGCTAAACATCTACCATATGTATCCACAAGGACATAGGCAGAGTGAAACTCACTTTTTGCTTCTTTTTTTATTTTATTTTTACAATCACACATTAAATAGTTTTCTACAATACTCTGAATGAATGCACCCTTTGCTGTGCTTGTGAGGGGGCTGACATCATTCACGGGCTTTGGGTTTGTTGTGATCTGGCTCGCCATATAAGCTGGGCCTCTCTTTGTCGCAGACTGAAAAGCCTGCCAATTAGCAGAGCGCGTCCTGCACTGTCATTAAAAACATCTACACAGTTATTTAAAATACCTAGGTGCAACTCCAATCACTTCTCTTTAAAAGGTGTGTTCACGGAAGTTTGAGTAGCCACTGAATTTACAGGTTTGGGGGGGTCGATTTCCTGAGCAGCCATATTCAAAAGGAAAAATAAAGAAAGCAATATTTTAAAAACTGACATGGTGTCTCAGAGCCAGCCAAAATAGGAAATAATTGGTGCCCCCCCCCCCCCCCCCCCCCCCAAGCTTAAATCGAGACAATTGACTTCAACTAAAAAAATCAAAAATGAACAACAAAGGCATAACGTAAATTAGCATATTATTAAATTATAGGAAATCAGAAAATCATCATGGCATGGTTATAGCAACTGGCATGTGGGTGAATCCTAAATATTCAAATAGCAGTCAAATGAGTTTGGCCTTTGTGTCTATATCCATATTCAACAGTCTCATCTTTAGCTGTTAGCTTTAGCTGTTTTTTTTCTTCTAGCATCTCTCAGACATCTTTTCACAGGTCAGTCAGAAAACCCTAAAGCTAAAACAGGAACCCCAACAGTTTCAAAGTGCAATGCATGTAAGCCTATCTCCTGTGCTTTGTCGCATTGTTTCTGAGTAGCCAGAGCTATAAGGTTTTTCACGCTGTTGTTATTTATTTTTTGGTGCGGTTTTCCCCCACTTTGACAACCTGAATCAGATCCCACCCATAGCCTAACCTATCTTGGACATAGCCATGCCATTATCTCTGCGTTTTAGAGCTGTGCTGACCTGATATTCGTGCTATAAACGCAAAATACAGAAATCGGTGTCCAAGTGGAACATGACATGAGTGAAGTCTATCGTGGGACCGAGCGTGCTACGAAGGTCTGAGCCTTATTCTATTTGATTGTCTGAACATAAGGCCTGTGTTGTGTCTGGGCCTGCGTCTGTGCACAGTCACGCATATGCAAACCAGGAAATAAAAAAACAAGACTGAAAACCAGATCACAAGGACTCTGTGAAGGAAAACAACACCCCCATAACCACCAGGAATATATTTCCGTCAAATCTAATAAAGGCTTAACTGTGAGCATGTATAGATAGACATTAATAAACCAATTTTAAATCATTCTCTGAAATTGAACTCTTGGGCACATGACAGTCATGAAAGAAAAGACAGATTTGATGTATAAAATATATCAAGTGGCACAGAATGGGGAAACCCTGTTTTTTTTTTCTTGATTTACCACGTCAAACCTGCTCTCAGTGAAAGCTAGATCTCAAAGATGCTGAAGAGAATTTTTTTCTTTTTTTTTTTAAACCCTTTTCTCTTTCAGACAAAGCACAAACCACTGAAACCCTGGCACCATACAATCCAACAGGTCGAGCATAGGAAAGCGCAGAAGAAATAATCAGGAAAAAAGTAAAGTAAACACAACAATGAGAGCCAAACATATTGCTTAGGATTGATAGCTTATTTTAAACACAATTTTTTTGTTTTTAAGCATAAATCCACGAGCGGTGTCTCACAGTCCTGTGGGCGTTTTCTGGGGCTCCAAAAAGGGGGATCTTGTGGGTTTTCCTCGATCAAACTTCAAAACAAAGCGGAATGTAAACCCACTCACAGAAAAGGGGGGGAAGTAAAAAAAATAAAAATAAACACCGATAAAGTTGTGAGCAATTTGGTGAGCTGGAGTTAAGACTCCGGCTACCATTAGGTTGGAGATAGACACCGCAAGGGCTTTTGTTTTCATTTTCTGTTTTTTTTCTTTTGCTTTAAAAAACAGCTCAGTATTTCCTAGTTCTCTGAGCGTGTGGGGGAGGGAGAATCTGGCCGCCTGTCTGCCACCTCCACACGGGGTGGGACGGAGGGGGAGGCCCGGGGCCCCTCAGCGAGTTCAGGGAGTAAGCAGGGCACAAATCCCCGTCGCTGCCAACAACCAGCGACGGCGGGGATGGGAAATTTGCCATCAGGCTGAAAGGCATTTTTGCGGGCGATGCTACGGTGCTCGCGTTGCTGCGTTTGCGTCTGCTCGGTAAATCCTCCGTGGATAGCTCCTCGCAGCCCGCGAGACGAGACGCTGAAGAGGAGGAAGACGAAGAGGCAGCCTTGTTGACCCTGGGCACGTTTTGTTTTGTTTGCGTCCTGGAGACTCGGGATTTCTTGTTCCCCAGCACTGGAGCCCTGCAGTTTTTGTTGCCGGGCTCCCCCTCCTCGACACACGGGGTGTCCTGGGAGCACCAGCATTCCTGAGGATTGCAGCGGGACACATCATGGCTCTTCTCTGTGGCTTTAATCCCGCTGCTCAAAAAGTCCCCCTGCTTTATGGCTCCGCTGGTATACTGGCCATTGCTGCTCTCTGCCTTATCTCCTTTACATTTGACTACAGTGGCCTGGCTCTGGTATTCATATTCATCACAGCTTTCCTCCACTTTAACTTTCACATTGTGTAGGTTGAAGGGTGGCGTCCTGGCTGTCCTGCCGTTGTCCGAGTGGGGGTCGGCGGTCACAGAGTGCTCCTCTGCCTCGGTCTTTATTTTTCTCAGTGGAGTGGGCAGTTTTAGGCTGGTGGCTTTCGCCTCCCTTTTGTCTGTGCATTTGGGAAGCTTGGCGTCCTTGTCGTGGTCACACTGTGCGCTCAGTCCCGGGGGGCTCTTTATGGGATGCCCCGGTGTCTTGCGTGAGGGTAAGAGGCCTTATTCCGGTAAGGGACCAGCTCGTCGACAGGGTCAGCCCTGTTTGGATCAGCCTCAAACGCCTTTTCCCTTTTGGACTCCGTGAAAAAACCCTCCCCAACAGAGTTAAATTTTGGTGGCTGTAAGGGTCCCAAGTCCTTTCTGGTTTCACTGCATGTAAATTCACATTTCTGACGGTTCTCGTGTCTACTGTCGCCTGTCTGTGTAGCGGCAACATGGCCCCCTGTCCTGTGTTGTTTCTCTTGTTGCTGCTGGTTGTTGTAGTGAAACGTGGGCTGCAGGACCAAAGGTGCTTTACTAGTGTTGAGACTTTTGGCAGTAGAACCGACCCGGGCCCGTCTGAACCGGATGCTCTGGACAGAAACACGGCTAGAAACAGAGCTCGAGTCCGACTGAGAGGAGCTCTCCTCCTCGTCCGAACTGACCTCTGAACTCTCTGACTGGGTGTCATCTTCCTCCTCCTCGCCCTCCTCTTCCTCATCTGAGCTCCCAGAGTTGCTGGTGGTGGAGAAGCCGGACCCGAAGTCCGAGTCCGGGTACGCCCGGTCTGAGTAGGTGCTGGACTCTGTGTCGCTGCTGTAACTCTCCGGGAAAGTCGGCTCGTGGTGGTGGTGATGATGATGATGGTGATGCTGGTGGTGGTGATGATGGTGAGGTCTGGGGTCAAGATAGAAATCCGGACCGAGGTGGAAAGCACCAAAAGAAGTCCTGTGATCGCCGGTTGATTTGGGTTGTACGAGCAGCACCGGTGGTACTTGGTGTGTGTGTCTGCTCCTGCTCCAGGAGCGCCTCGCGCTGTCCTTGCCGCCGCCCCCCTCGCGCCTCCTCTTCCTTTTGTGAAGTAGGTCGCCGGCTGAGCGCGAGAGCCTGGACTGAGCAGCTATGGCGGACTGAAGCACTACCGGCTGCCGGCTCACCGCGCTCCTGAAAAACGAGTGCCTTTGGCTCAAAGTGACCCGGTTCCCTGTTATTTTTGCTGTTTCATAGTTTTTAAAGTGTTTGTGACTGGACTTTGTCACCGAAAGGTGTTCCCGTCCATGGGTTTTGTGGTAAAATTGAGGTAGTTTGGAGTCGGTAAGGCAAGGAGTCAGCTCTCTCCTCCTGTCTGTTTTGTTGTGAAGCGTCAGAGTCTCCGGGACACCGTGCAAACTAAACCAAACTTTTTCTTTCCACAGCTCGGCGTTCGCACGGAGGAGCCCCGGGGACGCATCCTCATCCCCGGGGGAAGACACCGCTTTCGCTTTCCTTTTGTTGGACTTCAAGACCCGCTCCGTCTTGCAGGAGAAATACAGAGCCTCCACGTCCTCCCGCGATATGAGAGTGCATTTAGCGGCATGGAAAGCTATAGAGTTTATTGCTTTGAGCTTCCGCAGCTCTTCCAGGTCGCAGTGGTGCTTCTTCACCTTCAAGTGGTCCATGCGCTTGTGCACCGTGGTCCGTGGGATGTTCTGCAGCAGGTCGGTGAAGACCTGAGACAAAGCAAACATTTGCTTGCCTTTGATGAGCAGGTATCCCAGTCTCACTCCTTGCATTTCCTCAAAGCCATACTCCAAGTCTCCCATGTTTTATGTATCCGCTCCAATGTATTAATCCATGCAGTCACTCTCTGTATTTTATGGATCTACCAGTAAATGGCGTGGGGTCCCGAGCTCAAGGCATCCTGCTCATACCTTTAATCCATCCACACTGCTGCTGCGTCATGAAAATGCAAACTTTGACATGCGGAGTTAAATGGAGCTGCCGGTGTCTAATAGATTGAATGAGCTGACAGCATCCACTCGTCGCCTCTTGCCCCGGTCCGGCATGGTGGAGGAATGCGATGGATGCGTCCACCAAGCCGGGGCTGCTGCTACCTGCCTCTGCCGGCTCCACTCCCCTCTGGACGGCAGCAGGACGAGGGGTAGGTGTACACCACTGCCTCAGCCAGAGGGATAAAATAGCGAGAAGAGAGAGAGAGAGACAGGGAGGGAGAGGGAGTTGTGAGGGTGGAGGGGAGGGAGAAAGAGAGAGAGAGTCCGAGACAGAGAGAAACAGAATAAGAGCTAAAATGCAGCTGCTATTCTGGCTGCTGGTTGAGCCACAAATAAAATGACAGAGAGGGGAGGTGCGCCGGTCTGGAGACACCTTCATCAATTAATGCCCTCGGAGACGACGCCCATTGGACGCCGCTGACAGGTGATGCAATAAAAATGGATATTCCATCCCCACCCCCTCCAACCTACCATTACAATAGTTTACAATTGTGCCCACAGACTCCGCTGTGTGAGTAAATAATGCACTTGTAACAAGTTCATAATTTCACTAGCTGAATACAGAGCTGCTGAAAATCCACCCCAGCTCATAGTGCGTGTGCAACCAGAATGGGTAGCCCGAGCCTGCAAAGTGTCACGTTAAGACAGGAATATACTGTGCTACCCAACCTTTTGGTCCACATCAAAATGCACACTGTAGTAGTCCTATATACAATCGATTGAATGCAGATAAAATGACTCCACATTTATGGCTGTTTAGACGGTCTGATGTGTGTTAACGCAGTCCAGCTTAAACAAAGACATTTCCTTTTTTACACTTGGAGAGCTGCTTTTCCACGTTTAGGCTGCTGCCCTGACCGGGGCTCAACTCATCTGCTTTTGTTGGCTCTAGGTTTTCCTCCATATGATTTTCCCTCACTGGTTGACTATAGACTGACCTACTTATTCTATTTGTTCACACAGCAGAGGCCTATATTCATTTGTCTCGCTGTACCTTAATAAATCCATCGGCCTTTCCAATGTTTTTAAACCTTTTCCCTCTACACACGCGCGTGTGTGTGTGAAATAATTTAAATGTGTTATTATGTATTAGCGCCTGCAATTTGGAGATAAAAATGTATATAACGTCAAACTCTAGAAATTATATTCTTGTGAATTCAGAGGTGTCATGCTAAACCAGCAAGTCCCCGTTAAATGGTAGCCGACTTTTCACCCTGGTAAAACAACATTGATTGGACAGGCTAAAAAATGCAGAGTCAGGGTTGCTTTTCCCTCAAGATTTTCCAGACAATGTAGGTTAAAGCTGTTGCCATTTAAAGAAATCCAATTAAGATCTCCCGTTAAAGATGTGGGGACGTCTTAGAAAAACAAATACAAAATATATTTAATATAGCCTACTGCATACACGTCAATAAACTGTTATGTTAATAATATTGATATTACTTTACTATCAACAAGTAGCTATCTAAAATTGGGGGACAGAAACGTGCGCTATTTCAGTGTAATTGAACATAATGTAGTCAGTAATCTACAGCTATTTTTTCCTGGGAATTATTTTTGTGTCTGGTGTCGCGCATAATACTTCACACACACATTTTCACATTTTGTCTGTGTGCATGTGCATTTTGCGTGTGCACACCGAAAACACCTATGAACAGGCACACACACACACACACCGCTCTGACTTTTCACGGGGTATGGACACAAGCCTATGTTAAAATATGCACGCGCACTCCTTATCTACACGCGCGCGCATAGGCTACATAAAAAGCAGAGGCAGAAGCTACCACCCACAACGCCGTCCAACTAACGTGATTGTGTATTATATTATATAGGCTCATTTTTTGGATTACCGGTAGACCTACAGAAGGCTGGTTGGACTGGCTGTTGTGTGTAGCCCCTGAGGCATTTTTTTCAATACTCCCTGCCTTATGTACCGTCTTTGTTATCTATAAAACACGTGAGTCCCTTGTGGCCCGTTCCTCACGGGCAGCAATGTGCGCTATGGGGCCAAACTCAAGACCGTGCATGCTCATCTCCACGATGTTAAGCCTACTTACTTATTTACACACCACTCATTGTATTGTGAATAGCATCGATGTTTCCTCGGTGTTACATCAAATAGTGTATTATATGTGTAAGCGTTATTATAGGTAGCCTATGATTGGATGTCCACAAAATCCACGCAATACTGGACTGTATAACATAATCACTAATGTGGTGGTCATGGACTTACAGACAATACCTATACATACCAAACAAGATAAGGAAAAGAGTGTGTTAACGGGACTTATATAATGCAATAATGAGATAGGCCTATATATGCAGAGTATTTACAGAACCTGTAGCCATAACACACGCAGGTATGTACATATTTGGAGGATGGGTTATAGCGTTGCACCTTGAAATGTCAACCTATGTAAGGGAACTGGTTTGTCGTGGACCAAAAATAGTTTCCTAATCTTTTATGGTTAAGCCTTTTGCTTCTAATTTAAGAGTTTAGCCTACATTACAGTGGCTGTTCTTTTTGTGGCATATAATAGTAGAGATCATTAAAAGTTACAATTAGAGTAGCCTCTAAAAACATCCTTCCCATTTATAAAGCAGGTTATATTTTACTCGACAAACCGCAGAAGGTTTTTGTGCACCGCACAAGTTACTTGTGGACAGGATGGTTAAGCTCAGGGTTGCAGTGCAAACACACCATGAGGCACCACTGTGTGTTGGTGCGCCTCTGTGCAGCTATCAGTGAATATACGTCAAATAGGCTGCACATTCAACTCACAATGAGTTAACTCCCGTTCAACTCCCATACACCGGGTCATCGTTGCTTTGAAAACAACCACGTTGAGCTGGTCTCGGTCTGGTTGCAGCAAAACTCGCTTTTTACGTGCTGATTCTGTATGACATGCGTTAATACGTGGGACACGCGGAGTTTCACAGATGCAGCAGAGTGAAGTGAGAGGAGTGGCAGCTTGTTGAAGTCCGGATCCCCAGGGGGAATAACTCAGATCCCAGAGCCACGATGCACCGTGCCCGGCCTGGGAGAGGCAGGGAGGAAAAGACAGTCAAGGCTTTTTCATCCCACGTACTGGCCATTGCACGCCTGGCCCTTTCGGGAACCTAAGTTTTGTTTGACACAATACTTGCTTTTTTATTTTCTCTGATCACATACAGTAGCTATAGCCAAGGGTTCCCACTTGAATGTAGACGACCAAACAATGTAAACTAACCAATTCTCGCCCACTGACCTAAATTGGTCTACATCCAAGCGAGCATTCATGTGCGCTTAGAATTCTGTCATAAAAAGTCCTGCTTGTTATCTCACAAAATATTGAAATTACACGGAAATTGTAGACAACAGTTTGACATTTTTCAGGCTGCTGCACGGGGATCATTTAATAACAATGTCACATAACTTTTTCAATGTTTTCACAAGGGTCAAATGCTGTTGGTGTGAAGTACAAACATTTTTATAGCCTAACTATTTATTAATTAGCCTATTAAGTAGGCTAATTGTCTTACCTACTAAGTTCCCGCCCACGCCCACACAGACGTGGTTAAACTGCGGGACACGTAAGCATGGGAATTCTTCAAGCAAAATATCTATACAAATTATTACTATTACCGATTTGTCAAATAATTCTCAGAACAAGACAAAACCAGCTTGGAAAAACGTGATCAAATATAACCAAACAAAATAAAGGTAGGCTTAGCCTATGACCTGCAAAAAAATAAATACAATAGTTTAAAAGTAGTTATTACTGTCTTATAAGGTATCAGGTTGAATTTACGTAACGTTTCTCATACATGGTGCTATACATGATAAGTGCCCCATGCTGAATCCACGATCAGTGTTTTTGAATTAGACCTCTCAGCCTATCCCAAAGCCTGAATTGAGGACCATCTAAAACAATAATAAAATATCGTAATAATGACTGAATAAAATAACCTTGTGTGTATATAAAGCCTACATATTAGAGTATTTCCAATTAAGACCAGGGAGTCTTTGTTATGCAGATTTGTGATGCACCAGATGCCACAGGGGCACTCTCCTGAGCTTGGATGTCGGAGAGGGAGAGGGGGGCGACGAGAGTGAGAGAGAGACCTCAAGCACGGTGGAGGTTTCTTACAACAGCCCGCTGTGTGCTGGTGATATGGGGGAAATGCCTCCGACGACCAAATCTTGCACTTCAGGCTCATTCCCAGTGATGCACACGAGGCTATTCCTGCATAGGTTTGATATGTTTGTGGCCGGAATTACAGCGAAGGGGAACCACCAAACCTCCCTTTAATCTGTAGGCTAGTCTAGATGCATGATACATGGCTATCTAGAAGTGAAACATGCATTAATACAACGTCTAAAGGCCTGCTGTTTTATCTACTTTTTTATTTTCCACTACTTCACTGTGGAAGACTGCCTTAATGGGGGAGATAGACAGATTACGGTAAGGACACGGCCTACACACACACACACACACACGCACACACACGCACACACACAACCAATGACCAGTGCTCATAGTTTTGTGCAGTTAGTGGAATTGTTTGAAACTTCCATGCCGGAGCATGGCAAACTGATAAAATGTTCTTCTGTAAAACATAAAAACATAAAATGGCGTAGTTGATTTCAATTTAAAAGGCTTGCAAAACCTATAGAAAGTCCACACACTCCATACAGTGGCGATGTGGAAGCAGTTTCTTGAGCGAGGTTTATGTAGCTAACTGGTTCATCTGGTGAATTCCATACATTTTTATAATCTCCCTGGCCATAAAGACCTATTGGTAGGCAAGCAAGCGGCCAAACTCTTCCACTTTTCTAACACGCATCAACCCAACGTGTTGCTCCCGCAGCCCTGAGTCATTTGTTTTGTATCGAGTTTTATGGAGACACTTGGTCAAGGAGGCGCAGGCACTAGAGTCTTTATGACACAAACCCACTGCCCCATGCCAAAACAATGAATTCCTCTCCACCACCCCCAACCCCCGGGAGAATGTGATTTTACATGCAATCCGAGCCTGAAGTGTGTGCGGACAGTGATGGGGGGAGGGCTCTCTTCACCTTTCACCCCGCCGTGTTGGGACTATTTTTTCCCTGGGCCCCTGTGCTACCACTCGCCAGAGAGGAGAGGCCGTGGGCAAATACTGACAAGTCTGAATGCGGTGGAACCCAGAAAGAAGCATTATGGCTCGGGAGCTTTTAGGTTCAATTAACTGTTCGGGTCATTTCAGTGTTTCCACGCTCAGCAGCAGATGAAACAGACTTTTTTCTCCAGTTGTTCCCAACACATCATATAGTCTTGTGAGGACAAAAAACACACACAGATGGGACTGCGTATAGTCTGTCACAACCATTACAGCCCATCGAACAGATATTACATTTACCATAAACTGCAATAAATCAGAAGACAAACATCCAGAATCAGCCCAAGTATGTCGATACTACAGAGATAAAAACACCACTTAAGATATATATAAAGTCTGTTATATAGTCTATAATTACTGCGTAAATGAATACAAGGCTCCATTAAATTTAATGATGCATGTATTGGGGTTGCTATAGGTGAATACATTTCGGGTTGAACAAGGAGATGGGCTAAGGGATGAAGAACGTGTGCATGTGTGCGCTGCTAACTTGGCTGTTTTGTCTGTGAAACACTGTTGTCATTGTTTCTATTTAACTGGGCTTAAACAATAATAGTTGGGCTAAATATACATGCTAGGCTACATTGTGTAAGAAGCGATCAAACGTGTCACACAACACACGTTTTCTTGAGCTCAACATAAACAATCTTAGGCGATTTATTTTGTTTAGCAGATCTATATGGTTTACATTGGACATCAAAGCCCTGAAAAACACCCATTACTCATTAATAAATTGATTTGAAACAAGCATATGGCGTCTGTTTGGGAACACAACGGCTTCAAAATAAAAGTCCTATACTTAGCTGTCAGCAGTCATTTGTTGAAGCTTATGAGCTCAGTCTGTGAAAACATTCCTCCCAGACTGCTTTAGTTTTCTGTGGAGTTCCCCTGCAATGCACACACACACACACACACACACACACACACACACACACACACGCGCACACACACACACACACACACACACTCTCTCTCTTAGGATGCGGTGTTTAAGGACAAATTCAGATTTTATTACCTTTCAAACAATCATTCCAAGCACCCGGGTCTTTCTTGGGAATTTATAAACGTCAAGAAAACACATAAGATTTAAATGAGATGAAGTTAGGTAGGCAATCTGTAAAGAGCAGTAACCATTAGATAAAATAAAAAACTGGCAGATGGTTAAGCATGATCAACATTTGTATATACAATGCCTTAACACAATACCATTTCAGAAGCATATACATCTAAGTCTGTGGGCCTGGGGGCTGCTTTTCCCACTATTGTCTTTCCTCCCTGCATATTTCACACCTTCCTCATTCTGCACAGAGAAACCACAAAACCTCCTTCAGCCTATATGCAAACATGCCCAGGACCCAATCATGAGAGCCCTCTGACTTTTTAAATCTCAAGTGCTGAGAAGTCACCTTTCTGACAATTAAATAGACCAAAAGAGACATAGATAAGAGGGTAAATCAACAGTTTTATTTCCATATGTTGTTTCTAAATAGTTATTTTAAACACTTGCAAACAGCTAAATTAATGAAATGGGAAACACCACAACTGAACATGTTTTTCAAGGATGTCGTCTCAGTCTTCTGCTTATTTCTGCTCTCTCTCACCCAGGTCCAACATGACTACTGTACTGTGCAAGTGAAATAGGTTACACAATGTGCAGAATATACTGTACTGGCAAAAATGTTTGAAAACCCTGACAAGGACAGCAGCCTATAACATAAATCTAGCTCTACATTTGCATTGTGGAAAAAGGGTGCATATTTCTAGATGTGTACATATATTTATATTTATATGTGGCAAAAAAAAATAATACTTGAGACAAGACAAGACAATTTTTACAAACAGATCGAGGTGTGTAGCAGAACCACTGTTCCAGTGGAATTAGAGACCCTACCAACTTGGTAGATGTACAGTATGGACAACAAAGCTGTAACATATAGCATCTAAGAGGACTGTGTGATTATGATTATATAAAAGCTCTGAGTGCTATATGTACTTTAAGGGCACCAATAGTGGTTGGAAGCAGACAGTGTCACTGCAATTTTATGTCTCAGAGACAGCTCCTCTCTGACAACCCGAGGAACATTATGATTCGTGCAGACTTTGACTTAATCAAGTGCAAGTTGTAAAAATCATTTGCCATTTTCAGTGTTTCAGTAGCTATATGGGCCCCTCCACAACCGCTGCCCCCTCCTTCGCCTCCCTTTGTTCTCTCCAGCTCTAATAGGTTTTCCCCTGCCACACACAATTCACTTTTTTCCCCCTTTTCCCCAGCTCCCCATCCCTCCCACACCGCCTTTTAGTGCAGTGCCCAGTGTCGACTGGAGCATTTGAGCAATTTGAAATTAAAGCAAACAATGGGTAGGCACTCCCAGGGACCTCTCGCTCACCATATTACACAGAGGACGCTCGTGTGCTCTTACGCATTATTGGCAAGTCATTACGTTTCTCTGGAAACCAAGAGCGGGAGCTCGCTCAGAGGAATCGGTGATGCAAGCAGCAGCTGAGTGCTTGGAATAGCGTGTGTGTGTGTGTGTTCTGGAGCATCCTTGGCAACAGCATGGGGATGCTGTCAAAACAAAACTGTATATTGACAGGTCTGACATGCAGCCTGATGCAGGATTCTCAAAGCCTATTTAATATTTTTGAAAGATAAAAAGGTATTCATCCTTACAATGAAAAGCTTTTCAAATTGCTGTCTCAAGTCTACTGGCTCTATGCTCACCAGGCCCTTTGCATTCTCCTACCATTTGTTATGATTTTGAGAATGGCATGATGAAAAAAATTAAGTATTTTAATTACTTGAAAATAATGAGGTCCAACCTAAACTGCTGATTGTCCAGAGGTGTAGGTATAAATATAAACCATGATTCAAATTAATTATATAATATATAATTATATTGGACTTAACCTTTTAAGAAAACCTGTTACAATTCTAAACTTCCTGTTGTCATTGAGTTTAAAAGTGTACAAAGAAACTGTTGTTTGTAATTATGTACTTTGTATTGCAATGGACCATATAGCATAATGGACGTTATAACTGTCATGTTTTTTATCATCTAACTATTGTCATGTTTCTGTTTTGAATGAGTTTAGTAAGATGCAATAAAACACCTACAAGCCTGACTCTTAAGGATGCCTGTGTGGATGTGTACAAACATAAGTGACATCTGCAAAACATGGGGCATTACAGAATGAAAATGTATTATTTCTCCTTTAGCATAAATACAGATATGCATATGCAGTCTGCTTGTGGAGTTGTAGTAGTGATAAAAATGGGTTTTCACAGGATAAAACAAATCTTAAAATCCCATGCAAAGGGAAATTCAGCAGCTGTCCAGACTTTACTGCAACAACTGACATGTAAGTGTGTAATCTGCTTGAACCATCTAAACCACAAAAGTTTTCTGTAGGTGTGATGTATCTAGGCCTGCAACACATTATTTATAATTGATTATTCTGACAAATAGTTACTTGATTAATCAGTTAATTGTTTAGTCTATAAAATCAGTCCAGTGCAGCGAGGAATCACAGTGCTGGTTTTAGTTTTAAGAGATATCACAAAATAAAATACATATTATTTTCAAGAACCCAAGCTGATGTTTTCTCATGTCTTGTTTTGTCCATCAGTCCAAAACACAAAGATTATAAACAAATAATAAAATGGCTCAAACCCGAGAACGAGTTGTACTTTGCTTAGAAATTATTTGTTTGATTAATATAGCCTATTAATCAATACATTTTAGTAGATAAATGAATGCCCTAATCAACTGATCCCTTCAGCTCTAAATTTAGCCATTAAGTAAAATAATCAAACATGATACTCACACTTAAACCTTAAAGCTCTTATTTGAAATCTGAAACAGGATTGTTATCCATATGCCTGTAGTCTCTTCCAAACAGACATTTATTTTATATTTACCTTAAAAACCTATATTTTTGGTTGTTTGGTATGTTTAAAAAACACAAGATGGCTTTAAGAGAGACAATATTCTGTAACATAGGCCATTAGCCTATAGACATAATTTAACTGCCATTTACTTCTTTGTCTGGGAGTTTGTATTCTCGTTTGTCTGTTTCCATGTATCATATAGCCTACTCCCTGTCTTTTGGCTGTTAATATAGTTGTAAGAAAAACAAAATATGGAACAGGATTCACATTTATTTTTAATGTAGCTGTGCATCATAAACTCATCTTTGGCCACTCAGCAGATTATCAACTAGGCTGTTCCTGCTGTAAACAAATAAACAAACACTCACATCTGTTTCTAAACATCGTGCTTTGAACAGTTGCTGAGCTTGGCAGGTCTCTTAGCCTACCACCACGCTGCTCCAGTGTTGACTGTGAAGCGAGTAAAGTGAAGTCTCTCAACTTTCAAACCACCCCAGCCATGTGGAACCAAAATGGAAAGTTATTCTCTCTGCGACCCAATTACGTCCGTCATGTACTTCCTGTCAAAGGGCACGCACACACACACGCGCCTTGCGTCATTACGCACTTCCTGTTCTCTACGAGGTCCCCCCACTTCTCTTCACCGTCGCGCTGTGAAGTGGATGTTTTGGTGAAAAAATACGGTGTCTAATAGGGACGTAAACACACTTAAAACATGACATTTCGACCGAGTGGGACATAAAGCGGTGTTGCGGGATAAAGAGGGGCGTCTGCGGCGAAGGTTTCGGTTTATCTGTGCATCGTATTCTTCCGCATGTCCGCTTTCTTCGTAGATGGTCTCCGGCGAGCGTTGTCTGGCGGCGGACGACGAGTTAGTGAAGAATAATATGAAGGAGATGATCGGCGGTTGCTGTGTTTGCTCTGACGAGAGGGGCTGGGCGGAAAACCCGCTGGTGTACTGCGACGGACACGGCTGCAACGTCGCCGTGCATCAAGGTAAGCGACGCTGTTAGCTCGGCTAGGAGTTAGCCGTTAGCATACAGGCTAGTTAGCGATGTCTTGTTGCAAGGTTGTGAAGCGCCCCGTATGGAGCCGCCTGCCCTCACCAAGGCCAGGCTGAGGTCAGGCCCCATTCATGCAGCAGGGTAGTCCACTGATTCGTCTTGACAGCTAACTAACCTGCTAGAGAGGTGGCAGCTGCTTTATGGACACATGTGGCTGAGACTAGTCCTGATATTTTCTTTTTATCCCTGTTAGAAGCGGTCATGTTGGATATAGAGAAGGCGGGATGCTGCCATCTCTCACAGTAGTTCAACCCACGTTGACTACGAAACAACAGTCTAAATTGCATTAAATATGGAGGGGAAACTATTTAGACGCTGCGTGTTTATGTTCAGCATTCAGTCCAAGCAGCAAAACAATGATTTGTAATGACTGCACAGTTGGCTTCTAGTATAGTGACAGTGATGTTGTGCTTCCATGCCAGTGCTCACCCGAGATGACTCAGATGATGACGTCCATTGTTTACAAATTTAACAGCTGGCCATGTGTCCACTTAGCAAACTCCCACCGTGGCTGAAAAGTATTTGAAATGTCAGCAACTCTGAACCCATGCAGAAGTGTCTCAGCTTACTTGGACTTGTAACACGGGTTTGTTTGGGACATTTTATTAGTGTTTGGACTGTTAAATAGGCCTGACAGGCAGGACAGGAGCATGTCTGTGACTAACCTACCAACAGCCAAACTTTAACACACATGGCAGCACTATCTAGTCAAATGTTAAGTCTGTTTGACCCCCGTGTTTCTCTTTGCTGGTTCAAAGTAGCATAAACTAACCCTCGGCAGTATTAATAGTAAGATGACTTATTATTTGTACGATGAGATACAACTGTGTCAAATATCATAGTATTTATTTCACATTAAAGTTGCATCATATTATCCCAGCCTCAGCCAGTCAGACTTCATGACTGTGTAGAAAACACAGTATCGGTCTGCCTAAGATTAAGTGTGTTACGAAACTGAAGAGAGATCTAGACAAGAAAATTATTTTTATTCTATAGCATCATATCCCATATTCTATTGTCACAAGTTCTGTCCAGAATAAAAGAGGAGTTTTGAAGCTTCAGTACAAAGTATTACTGTATACTTACTATATTGAAAGATGTACAATGGGGTATGGAATATTTAGCTTATATCAAAACATGAACCCTTCATCCAGTTACTTTCCAAATGTGGCCTCGTTGATTTCTTTGGTTTAATAATCAACCATGCATCACATGAACTAATCGTTCAAAACATAGTCCGACCCGTCAGTCTGTGAGCGAGACAGAGGGACGTCGTCAGCAGCTGAAGCGAGACAGAGGAAAACTGGGAGAAGATAAGGAAGGTTTGTGTTTTGCTCGCTGGCCATTTAAGGTTAGCTGTACTGCTGCCTTTTGTTGTTCAACTTTTCACAGAGCCAACGTGCATGTCAGTTTCACTTTTCGTCAACCGACCAATCACAGCCTGAATGTGGCGGGACATTAAAAAAAGTTTGACGTGCTACAGCAAATCGTTAAATGATGAACAATGTGACTGACAAGTTAATACATAGCATTAACAAATTGGAGACCAATGTAAAGCTTGAATAAGGATTTAATGAATAAAAACAACTCACAGAAATGAAACAGCTTTAATTGGAAATTCAACTAGAGATAGATAAACATAGAGACTTTGCAGTGGTCAGATGTAGATTTGGCTAGAGCCAGGATGCCAATATTTGCTCCTTCTGGCCACCTCCTCCGTAGAGCAACACGCTCCCCTTGTTCTGTTTTACATCTGTTTTACTAGTTCATTTAACTTCGTTCAAGGTGAGAAATATACATTTCAAAATGTCAGTATTTCCTGCATTCCTTGATAATAATTAAGCATACTCATAGTACCATTTGTTCCATTATAATCGAATCGCAAATCGTAATATTATCCACAATAATTGCAATATGACTTTCTCCAAATCACGTAGCCCTACTAAAGTAGCAGCATTTAACAGTGTCCAATGATTCTGCATTTTAGGAATCAATACACTAATCTGTTGGAGCTTTTTTAAATGATTGATTTTCTGTCAATACTGCCTTTAATTTAACCCATAAAAGTGATTAATCTAAAAGAGTTAATTTGATTTTTTTTTTAATCAAAAGGAAATATAAAATGTAATTGAGACTATTGCTGAACAATATGAAGAAAAAGTCGTATTGCGATTATTGTGAACAATAATAATAATATTGCGATTTGCAATTGCGATTCGATTATGAAAATGCTCAACATTGGTCTCTAATTTGTTAATGCTAAGTACTAACTTGTCAATAATCATATTGTTCAACATTTAATGATTTGCTGCATCAAACGTTTTTTTTAATGTCCCGCCCCATCCCGACTGCGATTGGTCGGTTGACGGAAAGTGACTGACAAGCACATCGGCTCTGTGAAAAGTTGAACATGTTGAACAACAAAAGGTGCTTGGTGCTCTGGTGACAAGTCCGACTATGTTTTGAATGATTAGCTGCTGGACAGGGAGGGGGCTTACGGTAGGGTGTTAAAAATAACTGGCACAAACTGCTCATAAATCATTTTTTCTAGTAGGCTTATCTGTTTTTAGGGGCACATGCGAGAGCCCGCGTGGGTGTGGGCAGAGATAATGAGCAGACTGCAGCGCACACAGAAGAGAGCATCACACACCTTTTCTGTTTTGTTAAATCGCACACTTTTTCCAGTTATGTAATTGCACATGACGACATTGCGATTGCAGTTGCAATTGTGATTAGGTTAATCATGCAGACCTTATTGAGACCAGCAGTGCTTTACTCGTAGAGTGCCCACATTTCACACTATAAATGTTGAGAGAACATTTAGGACGATACAGTACAATAGGTTGTAGCATTTAAAAGTTTACTTAATTTAGTAATTTTTCCTATGAGAATGTACATATTCAATACAGGGTTTTTATATATTTTGTATACAACTGGGGCATAGTTTGGGTACGTCTACATATACCTAGTGAGTATGGCTGCATCCCACATAATATGCAATGCACTTAATATAACAACACGATCTCTATGAACCAATTCAAGATGAATTAAAGATTGTTTCCTGTGTGTTTGAGTGCTCCTCTGAAACTTAAAGAGAAGCTTAAAACATCCACAAAGCATAGTCGTATAGTGTTTGTGGTACTGGCTAAAAATAAAATTGCAAGCTTTTACGTGATTGGATCAGCAGGCCACAATTCTTAAAATGAACCAGATGTGTGTGTGTGTGCGTGTGCAAAATATCCTTACCAACGGGTATGTGATGTTTTATCTGTAAGTCTGGTCACCAGTTTCTTCATTTGAACTCCGTAACCTTTGGGTGTTTTGTTCTCAGAAATCGGGATTATCACTCTTTATTCCATTGGATTATGGGCTCAGAGATAATCTGAAATTGTGTAGAGGTAGGCTATTTATGGTCGTGCTGCTGCATTTAGGGTAGCACTGCCTGTACAGCAACTTAGAGTCTGAGTCGTGTAAGTGTCGGTGAAATCGGGTTGTAACTCAATGGGAAAGATGTGTTTTGTAAACCATTGTTTACCAGTGCATTTTAAAATTTTAAGTATTGACAGAATTTAGTAGAATGTATGACAGTAACCGACATCAAAAGGAACTGAGTCCTCTCCGGTCTCCTGGTCTTTAATAGCTTCTGTGTTTCAGCAGGTTTTCTGCTCATGTTCAAAACTTTCTGCACATTCAGGATCTCTCCCGCACATCTGTGTTCTCTGACATATCCAGAAAAAATCATAATTTTATGAGACTTACATTATTTAATGAGAATTCATAATAATTTTTAAAAGTCTACCTGACCTATACTCTGCTGTGCTCCCATTCAGACTGTCCCAAACAGAGACAGGCTGTGTTTCAGATTTGAGATGTTTATAATGCAAAACTCTACCAGCGAGTCTGCTGGCAGCGTCTCAGCGTGCGCAGGGGTGGGGGGGTTACTTTATTAACACGCCGTATGCTGAGTTGCATTATCTGGGTGGAGATGATTCTCGCCGCTAGTCGACGTTATCAGAATATAAGTTTGTTAGTCTCAAGCCCTCGGTGCAACAAGCTTTGCAACATTAACAACAAAGCAAAGCTACCGGTTATCGTCGATGCCTATGCGTGTTGACATTAACAATGCATCGCTGTTGTCCCAGGGGCTTAAAATATTTTGTAGCACTGGCAGACTATGTCGGGCGTCAGTAGAGCGATAAAATACAACAGCAGTGTGTTCAGCAGTCTGTCAGGTCAAAACATTGTTCAGTTCGGCATTCAAACTGGTGTTCGGTCACATGTTTTCCTTCTGGCAGGTGTAAAACATAGTCAGAAGCAGAGACGATGTGATATTTGTAAAGATGTTATCAAGTGTCATCGGTTTTGGAGTGGTTTCATTATCACTATGTAAATGTATTCTGGTATAAAATGGAGTCTTTTGTTGTCTCTCTTCAGCCTGCTATGGCATCGTGCAGGTGCCCACTGGTCCATGGTTCTGCAGAAAGTGTGAATCTCAGGAGAGAGCAGCCCGAGTGGTGAGTCAACACAATCTATCTATCCATTCATCATTTATAAGTCAACCCCTGGAATAACAGCACTATCTGGTAAAGATGGTGGACCTCATGCTCTTGAGCAGTGCTATCATTTATAAATGGGCTAAGAAAATAGCGCCATGTAGGTCTTTCTGTTCAAGGGGCCTGGAACAAACTAGTTAAAATAACACAATGCATGTTGAAAAAGTGCTGATGAGAAGATGTCGGTTGGTTTTTGACTTGAGAGTTGTCCGCTGTTTCTGAATATGTGACTTGTTTTGTGAGGAAACACAAAGCAGTCATTGTTCAAGACTTCACTTTGTTTGCAACCTACACGGCAGGGCTGGATGATAACAGACAAACAGTTTAGCTATGTAAAATCACATCATGTTGTCCAGTTGAAGAGCATTACAGTCGGCTGCTCAGTAAAATAAAATCTAACTATCTAACTCTAAATGTCATTCACATGTGAAAATAACACGCACAGGTGGTTTGGGATCAGGTTTGTTTATTCAAACAGAGCTGTTTATTACTAATTTTAAGATAAATTAAAAACAAAATCCTGTGATTACAGTAGGTAATAAAACCAAAACAATAAATATTGGCATATTTCCCAGGCTTACTTTATGGCTTACAAGATATTTGTGGTTTGCCACAATGTAACGTATACACGATATAACTTTATACTTCCTTGGGCTTTTTTAAACCACATAACCTGAAAAAGAATTGTGTTTTACTAAATTACAATATTTATCACAGAGCAATAGTATCATATCATTGATTTACTGACTAGTGGGACTTGAAAGCTTGCTTTTGTTGTCTCACCATTTCTCTCACTTGATCTTAAATCTCTTTAAAGCTTGGCAGAAGCTGCAGAATCAAAAGAATTGTAACTAGAGACATTATATTAGAGGTCTGCATAGACCTGCCTGGTACTGGCAGTTTTTGTGGCACCACCGCCTGCACTGACAGGATTTTCTGTGGCATTCAACCTCTCCCGCTGTCCTTTGAGCTTAGTCTGCCCGTCAGCCTGTGATCTGTATTTTGTACCAGTAACCATCATATTTCATCACATTATTTCTAAACCTGATTAAAAACGCTCTATAAAAGATGATCATAAATGCTGTTTGGCCAGTTTACTAACTGCCATTTGCTGTGTGTGGTATACTATGACGTGCAGACGTTAAGCTTTCTTGGCTGCATCATATGTATGTTTCTGCCCAGGCAGGAACGCAGCCCTCGAAAGCGCTGCATTTCCAACAACTGCTGCAGTACCCGTGAAGTGGGTCAAAGAGATTCCATATTTACATGTTCTTTTTGTGAAACTGGAACGGGTTGCTGAGTTTTCAACTTAATGTGACCTCGGCCAACTTCTAAGGACTTGTCGAGATTTTGTCAGGGCAAGATTTACTTACGTAGTTGTTGATACAGGTGCTAGGAATGATCTGCCCACTTGCTGTATTCATGTGTGTGCACAAGGCAAAGTTTCTCTAGCAGAAATGTAGCAGGATATCTAGGTTTTCCTCTAACCTCTTAACCTGAGAAACCAGTGTTCTCATTTACATGGTGTTTAAGAAATGCATTTAGGGGAGAAATCTGACATAAATAAGGTCACGAAAGTACATTGTCGGGTCGGAAAATGTGATGTTTGAGGTGGCTGTTGCGCACGACAAATTTGGTTACAATTTACCTGTCTTGCAGTGTTAACATAAGTGATTCGGATCCACTCCAATACGTCATGCTACACTCGTCAACCAGGTTTCATGAAGATCGAGCCTGGAGTTTCAGTTTAGTAGTAAATAAAATAAAAAGATATTTGAAAACCTGTTCAGAAAGGTGAATATAAGATAGTAGTGTGGTGCAGTAGCAACATAACTTGTTTGTGAGGTGTGAACTTGGCATGCAACAGGGAGAAATGGTGGACAAAATTATGGACAAGAATGTCTTTCTGTTGTGTGCGGGTCACACACACTGTGCTCTTTGTAACGTGCAGTTGAGTCCATAAGATGAGCAACACCAGCTCATTTGTAAGTTGAGGAAGAGTCGAACTGTCAGGCTCATAGAAGCAGAAAGAATTGCCAGAGGACCTGTAAAGTATTTGCTTGTATACATACACACACATGCTCGCGCTTGGAGAAAGAAACATCATTAGACGGCCGATCATGAGGATGTTTTCCCGGAGAGTTTTCTGGCCTTGCGCCCAAGTCAGGGCCGCTTGCGGGTTTATCTCCCACATTGACATGCTTGTCATACTTCTTGGGTTCCTCACTCCCAAGTAGATGAGTTTGGCCGCTTGTTTGTGACCTGGTGTTTCTTCTTTACCCACAGAGATGTGAACTGTGTCCCCACAAAGACGGAGCCCTCAAGAGGACAGACAACGGAGGTAGAATCTCTCTTTCAGCTGCATACTTACAAACACATACACACAGGTCTGTGGTGAGCCTCTTGTGCATGTTGTCATTAATTGCATGTCACCGGCAAGTTTAAGTAGTGTGAGCGTGCTGGGAGAGTTATGTTGCTGTTTGTTGTGTGTGCTGCCTTTCTCTACCGTCCTTGCCAGTCCATGTTTTATGAGTGTGTGTATGTTTATGAGGGGGCGGGCCAGGATGGGTATAGTGCATGGCCTGTGAGGAGTCTCCTCTCTGGGTTCATCGAGAGGTCAGCTTGGTGGAGACTGTAAATATTCAGTGTGTGTGGGTTTGTGTGTGTGCGTGCGCGCGTGTGTGTTTGAGTCAGTCAGAGAGAGAGAGAGGCACAGCTGTGGGATTGTGTCCAGGCCTGCAGGGAGGCATCAGGACAACACTAACACACACCGTTTTACTACTTTCTCTTTTATTTTACCCTTCCCATGACCCCTCTCTCCTCTTTTTTTCCTCCCATTTTTCTCTCACCATCTCTTTCCCTTACCGTGCGTTTCTCAGCTCTTGTCTGTTCCTCTTGCCTTGTTGATCTGTGTGGTTGTTGCTGTTATTTCAGTTGGGACAGTGTCAAAGCAGAGCAAAGTTATTACTCTGAAATGGGTATTTGATCCAGCATCTTAACATATAGCTGGCACAGAAGAAAGAAAGAGAGACAGACAGACAGAAAGTAAGATTACAGCTGCTTGCCTCTTTCTTTGTCTTGTTTAGGTGGACATAGCCAGTAAATAATATCATCTATATAACATTATATCAGGAGTTTAAAGATGATAGCAAACATAGTTGATATGTCACATCCATCTTATTCAGGGTTTTGATGGAAGCAAGTACACTAGAAAAGCAGCTACAGGTACTTTTATTACAATCTGTGTTAAGAAATATTAGTTATGTGACAGCAGAAACATTTAAATTCAATCATGAGCATGTTCTGTTGTACTGATTTGGTTTCACTGTATGTGCGGTTCATTACCATCTACAGGACTACAATTAGTCCTGTTTTTTTTTACCTTATGTTGGTGTCATGGTTTATCACAGAAGTGCATAAAGTTGTTATCAAGATCTGACAGTCTCATTTGTTTTTTATTTCAATTTTTTTAATGGTGAAATATTCCAAAGAGGGGGGCGGGGGGGGGGGGGGGGGTAAAAGTGTGAATGCTTAGTTTGAAGAGGAAGGCTGTGCCACTTTTATAGTCCTGTTTTATAGGCCTCTTCCAGATTCTTGGAGGGACTTCAAAACAACAACATGCTCCCCATTTTACACCCGCTGCCTCCCCTCTCCGTCCCGCCCTCTGCCCTCCTCCCCCTGTCCCGCTCACCCGGTCAAAGGCAGGTCAGGGGTTCAACTGTAAGTTTAAGCCTGTTTTTGTTTCCGCTATGGGGAAAAACAGACACCTCCAGTGTGGCAGCAGACTCCCACCTCTATTTGACCTCCTGTTGACCTCCTCCTGCTCCTCCTTAGCTCATCGTCAATTCTGCTGCCCTCCACCATGCCCCACTGTCATTCTACCGCCCCCAGTTTGTCTTCACTGACAGGCAGCTGTGTGTGTCTTAGGGCTCAATAAACAGCTATTTACACACATTAACACCCAGTTTGCTAATTAAAGCATTTACACTTAGGCAAGTTGTACTAATTTTTATATGTTCAATATGTGAATGTAACCAAACTTCAATTTGGCTTTAATTTAAATTTGATTTAAATTAATAATAATGGGTCCAGACCACATTTAGGTTGTGTTTGGCTCTGTTATCCATGTTGCCTTTTCGTCTGGTCCATTTTGGGTTCACCTTGACAACAAAAGTGGCAAAGTTTCATGGACTTGAGATGTGCTGCAAAGTCTGAAGGTTTAAATTCATCTTCACTAATGATCACAAAGACGTTAGAAGACAGTATGTGAGCATTCATCATAACTGTACTGGACTTTATGGGCTTACACTGAGAAGAGGACCAAGCACAGAAGCGTAGTAAAGTCAGTTATGCATTTCTTGTAGAGACTTCACATTTTTTAGAGCCCGAGCTATGAGTTACAACTGTGCAGGGAACGTATGGAGCAGTATCACAGGCTTCATGTTATCAGTCCTCAAATCTGCAACAGAGTTTTGCCACATTAGTAAAACTTGCAACCAATCGATCAAACAAGTGGATAACAAACATCAAGTCTTAGCAGAGGGTTTATAAATCTTCATGTAAACTCTGAAAGGTTGCCAGAAACTACATTTTACTGGCATATTTGTGCAGAGGTTGATGATTGTTTTCTGTGTGTCTTTTGCAGGCTGGGCCCATGTGGTTTGTGCCCTCTACATACCGGAAGTGGAATTTGCCAACGTGTCAACAATGGAGCCTATAGTACTTCAGTCGGTGCCACATGAGCGCTACAACAAGGTAACAAAATGTATCCATGCGTTTAGACATGTCACAAAATCCCATGTACAATCTAATTTATAATAAATGTATGTTTTTGATTTAAAATGGTTCTCGAAACTCTCTGTGTGTGTAGACATGTTATATCTGTGAGGACCAGGGCAGAGAGAGTAAAGCAGCCTCTGGAGCCTGTATGACCTGCAACAAACATGGCTGCAGGCAGGCCTTCCATGTCACGTGGTGAGACCCGTTCACATCACATTAACCTCACAAAGACAAAGAAGGAGATTGTTTCTTCACTCAAACTCAAGTCGTGACTGTAGATTTGATATACTGTTGAGTATTGTAATCGTGAAACCTTTGAAATACTGTAGATATTAAGATTTTCATGCATTCCAGTGGTTTAACTGCTTAGAGTAAATAATATCTTAATGACATGAGTCAACACAGCCTGTTGGGCAAACCTGGATCTTTATGCCACTTCGTTTTCTGCTTCCTTGTGTGCAAATCATGTTTCATGTTCACCACTTGTTAGTATGATGAAACTAACTGTTCTACAATGTTACACATAAATGTGGACAATTTATCTCTTGCTCATATCCCTTTCATGTCCTTTTACACTCCTCTCTGCCACAGTGCCCAGTTTGCGGGATTGTTATGTGAGGAACAAGGATCGGACGCAGACAACGTCAAGTACTGTGGATATTGCAAATACCACCACAGCAAATTGGTAAGTGCCCTCTCATACTTTTGTCTTTTGATGCTCTAACCCACAACTTCACACATGATTCCTCTCAACTGAAAAATGTATTTGTAGCCTTTAACCTGTTTCTGAACACGTGAGGACATTTTGTATGTTTTTTTGATTTGAAGTTTAAGGTGATTAATTGTTCACTGTACCAGTTAAACGATTAGAAATCTTGTGTTTTTGTACATTTGCCAGTATAAATGTACAATTTTTTTGTAGGGGTCGACCAATAATCGGTGCCAATATTCAGCGTTTTTCCAATAATCTGCATCGGTCATTTTAGAAACAGATAGCCGATGTAAATAATTATTACAAAATGCACTCCTTTGGCTCTGCTGTAGCTGCCTTCCTGTCTGTGCTGGATGTCCCGTAATGTCCCGCCCAGTACTAGCTGATTGGTTTCAAGTCACGAGTAATAACCTATCAACACTGACTATTGTGCAGAAGTAGCCAATAGAATGAGCGAGCCATCACGCTGCAGCCCCTCCCTTCCTGTCTCAGCAGAGCTCCGCAAATACACACAAATGCAGAGCTAGTTAGCGGACATCAGTGTAGCATTCACAAGTTAACCATAACTACGCTCGTTACTGTAAGTAAGTGCAGAAAAACCAGCAGTCCTAATAAAAGGCTGATACTGCATCAGTATGATAAGCAGGAATGTGCACCAAGCGATATTTTAATCTGCTCTGTCTCATCCACCGCAGCTGTATTTTGGTTTTACATAAACAAGCTAAAACTAAACCTCTCTGTCTGTAGCCTGTTTAGCTGAGATGCTACGTACCTTAAATTTTAGCACATCCTTGTAAACTCAGCTGCTTGTTGAGAGAAACCATCTCCTCTTTAGCAGTAGCAGAGGGAGGAGGAGGAACGACTGACTGGTGTCTTCTTTCTATTTTGATGTCAGGAATATAGTTTATTTTACGTTCCATTTGTTTCCAGTGAGATACTGATTTTATATAGTAAATTTGCTGCTGTAAACTTGACTGTTAACAGTTAGTTATAAAATATTAAATTTGATTACTGTTCTGAATTTATTATTTTTTAAATAACATTTTTAAAAGGCAATTCTTTTGCAATGGAAAACCAATAATTGTATAGATAAAGAACAGAACCAATAAATAATATCAATAAATGAATCAATAAAATCCTAAAAATATAAAATAAATACAATATAAATGCCAGCTGGTAAAGAAAAAGTTTATGATAATTTATAGTCATAGCTATAGTCATAGTTAAGTCCATCTCTGGGATGGGTCGCCAATTCAGTTAATTTAGTATTTATAAAGATTAAACATGACAATTAACTTTAATTCACCAGGGTTTGTTGCACGGACATGCATGAGAGAGTCTTGAAGGTTGTGTGTCTATTAACAAATTAGATCAGGATATATGCATTGTTTTTTTGTTTTTTTTTATTGTTACACTTACTACAAGCATGGATGACTAGGTAGACAGAACACACACCCTTAACACAGTGAGGAATACCTATCATCTTGGGAATGATGTCCGCTGCCACAGAGAGATGACCCTACCATCACTTCTTTTTCTTTTTTCTCTTATCCCTTCTCATCCCTTTCCTTCTCCTCCATACTACTCTGCTCTTTCCTCCACCCAGACATCTTTTTTCCAGCTTTTCTTCCGACGTCGGTGTCTCTTTCCTGCTCAGCACCCCTCCCTCCTTCAGTCAGCTTCCGGTCTCTGTTGGCCTCTGCCCCCTTTCCCTCCATCTATCTTTCTCCCCCATATGCTTCCTCTTTCACTGGACCAATGAATCCACCCCCTCCTCCCCATTGCTTGCCTCTCTTCCTCCATCCACACCTGTCCATCTACTGTTATTCTTCCTCCCTTCCTGATCCCTTTAATCTCTCTAACAGTCATCGTACCATCCTCTCCCTTGTGCTTTGGTACTAAGCACAGCAGGTTGGGTTTGCAGGATGGGGTCCTCTGAGCCTGGTTTTCACTGTTAATGTCAAACCAGGCTAATCAGGCTAAATCATTATTTATGTATTTCAAATTCTTTGGAAAATAACATTTCAGGGATTTATTTCTGTCTGTTTCCATCTCACTTTTAATATTTGGTCACCAGGTGTAGCAGTAGCTTTTGTGCTGTTTTGCTTAAATCGGACACATGGTTTTAACAGAAAGTTGCTGTTAGAGAAGAGTTTTCTACTCTTTTTCTAGACGGTATAGGAATATGAAGTAGAGCTATTAATAAAAAAGGATAAAGGTTAACCTAAAGAAGATAGAAAAACTGTCTATTTAGTCTGCACATTTGTTTGGCAAATAATTGACATTCGCTTCTAAATTACAGATTACCGTTTTCTTGCGTATGATTGCAGTCCTGCCTCATCTTTTGTATTCTGTTAGCTTTGCACTGACTATGCAGCCAGCATAATGCAAAGCTGATATGCGGATAGCTAGCCATTGTGAAGCAAAATTCAATCAGATAAGAGAAGAATAAAAAGGATAGGCCTAAATCGACAAATCCAACAACTGGATATACAGAGGAAATCTGTTCTCAGCACACACTCGCTGAAGAGATGTCCTGTTGGGTTCCAGATTTTGTTCCACCTCTCCCAACAGTTAACAACACATCACAAGGTGTATGCATGTACACACTCTGCATCAGCTGGGGAGGGACGAAAATATGAAAAGCAGGAACGTGACTTGATTATTAGGATTTCTGGAACAGTGTTGGGATGGAAACACAGGACAGGTTTTTATAGTGTCTACACAAACACACACACACACACACACACACCGATGACATTTTGCACTGTTAACAAACGCTGATGGAAAGACTCATGCTGTTATATTGATCGTGTATGAATGGCTTTGGATACTGGGGCATAATGTCATTAAGATGGGGTTGTATGGATGACAGGAATGTATGAGAGGGAATCAATGATGAAGAAAGCAATGTTGTTAGCAGAGTGGGTTTCATAAAATACCACTTGATGGATGTTCACGGCATGTTAGTAACATATGGTATTTGACTGGACTCAGTCGGTAGCCAAATCTAATTTCAAACTTAGATTATCCTTGTTAGTCTGGACGACTCTCCTTGGCTAGATCTCATCTCATCAAGACCGTGTATGAATATTTTTGATACATATTTTTGTGTAAATGCACTCGCTGATGCATCGGCTTAACTTTTCCAATCATCTACAATGGGTTTTGTTGGCATACAGATGCATTTGTCTCCCAGACATCTTCTGTGACAGTAATTGGCAAGCCTTGTTGCATAACTTTTTTGTCACTAGCTGTTCTTCCAACACAACTGATCTTTAGAAACAAAAGTGTCTTTACAGCACAGTTAAGTTGTATTCATTGAACTGAAAGTGTAACAAAGCTGAAAATCTATCCCTGAAAATGGTACAGTGGGGAAAGAATTAGGCAAGATTGAGTGATAGAGTAGTACGTTTTCGCAAGTTGATTCAAAAAGTTTTTATTTTTTTAGGCTTGTCCTGTAAGGAGGAGTGATTATCTCGTGTTTAAGAGGAATTTTTTTGTGTTCTTCTGTAGGAGTAGTAAATTCCACACATTTTAGTACATGTTAACTTACAGTATGTTGGCATTGAAATCCAGATTTAGACTTTAAAAGGGAATAGATCACCATGTAACTCAGACTCAGAGTGGGCTGTATGTGAGGCCAGAAGAGGAGGATTTATCCCATGGCGCATCAGGTTTTACATGAAAGGCCAAAAGAAACACTGTTTCTAGTCATAGATCTGTACTTTTGAATATAGACTGGACAAACACAAGCCTTGATCTATGTCTGCTGCCATTATGGCTGTAATTTGAGGATGTAGTTGTTTATCACCATGGCAACAGATACTGTGAACAAGAGCAAGCCGGCTTGGGCAGAGATCAGTAACAAAGACCCCTCAAAAGTGTCCCATGATGCCTCTTCAGATCCTAGTTTAGGAAAAGGAGTATTAAAATAACAATAAAACACACCTGTGGTAGTGTGGGGTTTTACTCAATCCTTTTCTTATGAGTAGCATTGATGGTCGTTCTACACTTGACTTTGCCCTGTCAATGAAAGCTGATAAAGGAATGGTATTTTCTACAGTGGAGGGAAAATGTAATTTTGTTTAAATATCTACTGCCACCATGCATCTATCACTGGGTAGTGACGAATAAGATTAACCTCCACTTTCCTAACCAATGCTCGTGACAATGTTTTTTTTGTTCACTGTTTTTGAGTTATCCTTGACTTCAGTCAGCCTTTTTTAGTTTAACGCTGCAGTAGGCAATTTGAGCGTACACAGTGCAAAACCTTCCGCCTCTCTCTCTCTGTTGCCTCGTATCTCTCCGCTAAGCACTCCGGCAGCTCTTGCTATCTTGAAAATGCCTCTCCAGTGATGATGAAAAGGAGTTATTAGAGACCTAGACACGTAGAACCCGGATGACCCTTGTTGGTACAGAGTCTCTGTGATTGGCTAGTTCTTGCTAGCTAACCCTGATTTGTTGTTTTATCCAGACCGGGTCCTGTTAAAAAAAAAAAAAAGAAGAAATAAACAAGGGGTGTGCGCTCACAGACGCATTTCTTTCAGTTAATATTGTTCGTTTGTTATCTGAACCTAAATTATAATGAAATAATTTTGCCTACTGCAGCTTGAAGATTTGTTAATTTTTTCAATATCATAAGAGTTTGGGTTTTTTTTGGTCTAATTTTAGCCTCTTTTCTTTGGACTTCATCCAGTAACTTGGAGTTCCTCTTTACCTTTTTAGCGAAGGCGCAGGGGCCGTGGTAGTAGGTCTCAAAGCTTAAGTGACTCTTCCACTCAGTGTATGGATAGACCCCCAGACGAGGACAAGAAGGTAAGACAGCCCTCAGATCTTACCCTGTCTATGCCTCCAACCCACAACTACGACTCCACCAGAAACACTGTTACATGCTCACACTGTGGAGGGACAGGCAAATACACAGTAAAACCATTGATCAGTTATCATTTTCAGTGGCTGTTATAATGGTTCTGTAACGAGACAGTCTTTGAATATATTGGCAGTGGAGTCTCAGAAGACTATTTTGTTTCAATTAACAACTCTGTTCACAACAAAGTCAGACAATAATGCAATAATCTCTGCTATCATACCTGAAGATAGTACATATTGACAATTAACCAAAACCCAGACAAATGTCAAACATCAATAAAGTCAATAGATTTGAGGAAAAATATTTTTATACAGATGATTGAAAGAAATGAAAAACTTTTGCTATATTCTTGATTTGAGCGTACTGTCTTCACTGAGTGTAAAAATTTGTCCCACCTCAAAACATATCAGTGTGTCCTTCACTTTTACTAAATAAGGCTTTTTAAAGCACAGCCATCCTTTTAATTTGTCCAAGCGAGTGCTGAAATTGTATTTTACAGACCCAGCAGCAGTTGTATTGTTTTTTTTTCTGCTAGTATGACTGCAGCCCACCAGTGATCGCAGCCTCTAATGAATCCTATGTTAGTGTGACCTAATCTGTCACAGCTGTTAGCAGAACATGTAATCACAGGCTGCGAAAAATCTGAATTTACAGGAGACGTTATCTGTTTTGTTTTTTGTCAGAACAGAGGAAAGGGCCAAAACTGAATTTGCTCTGTTCTCCTGCAGTTACATTAAACCTGTCATGAAGACTTCTGATGATTGATACTCCGTCCGCAACTTTTGCAGGCCCGTTTTAGTTTATAACAGGTAGGCAGAGGAATTGAACCCAATATAATGTGCTTAAGCAAACACAGTTTTATGTGTCACTAAACTCCCTACCAATGTGCTCTGTTTGGACAGAACTTTGAAAATGCATCCATCCTTACTCCCTTCTTGAGTAGCGATCAGTGTGAAGATTTTACAGGATCCAAATATTGTGGTTGGGTTTGGTGTGTGAAGTCAGCTGTATCAAGCACTTAGAGCAAACAGGGTTTGCACTACAGCAAGCAAAGGACGCTCGTTAGATAAAACAAGCGAAGACAAGTATGTAACATACTCTGACATGTGAGCCCGCGCTTTTTTGTGTGTGTGTTTTTGTATGTGAAAATATTTTAGTCAAGGGAAACTTGGACTAGACCACCTCAGAAACAAGAAACTGATGGTTTAGTGTGAGTTTTTATCTGGCTTTTTCAACAATATAAACCAATTGTGATTCAAAACAAATATACAAAAGCACTGAGCAAAAATTATTACAGGTTGTTGATGACACTTTCAATAAATAAATAAAAAATTCACACTGGAAGCATATTAGCTGCCTGTTTTTATACAGAAGCCTTGTTGCGACACGTTTTGGGTAAAATCAGTTTACAGTATAACAACTGATTGATATCAGATACATTTACCAAAGATGGAAATATGACAGGGTCGCATATAGCTGATATAGATCTTTCAAATCAGCTCAATTAAAGTAATGTTTTTATCATTATTATAAGTGTAAAAATCATATGATTATAATAAATTATGAAAATAGAGTTTTTTTCTGAAGATGCACCGTTGAATTTTATTGGCTTAGAGTTTTCCGGTTGAGCAAGAAAGAATGAATGGATGCATTTTGAAAGTGTCTCTTGACCTCCCAGGAAGTCCGCTCCTCCGTTGCGCTTGTTTTTGTCACCTGAATGACGCTCCACTTCCACTGAATGAAAAGCTCATGTTCTGATGAGATGTTGCATATATTTATGCTGACAGACCTGTAGAGATTTTATGAATGATGCTGTGCCACTTTGACTTCCCGTTTTTATCCTTTTTTGAGTTGTAGTTAATAGAAAAGCATGACATATGACAAAGATTTTTTTAATGTGCTCCTTCATAAAGTAATTAGTGGAATCCAAACTGATCATAAGAACATTGCGTTAAATACCAGCTTCTTAGGTGTGGGTATGTGTATTTGTCAACATACTATTCAGCCCTTCTGCCCTGGCTTTTGTTGATACTGCCTTATTTGCATCAGTTTGAGTACCCCCTCATCTCTGTCTCTCTCCATCCACATTCTAGGGTCAGAGATCAGTAGGCTCAGATGTGTGTGTGTGTGTGTGTGTGTGTGTGTGTGTGTGTGTGTGTGTCCGCACATGCATGTATACCCACCTCATGTTGGACCCTGCAGTCAAACTATAGCAGGGGCTGAAAGATCCCCCACACTGGCTAGAAAAGGCCTCCAGGAAACACACACATACAATGGCTGGTCAGAAATCCTGCAGGATACTGCACAGGGGAATTCCTGCCAGGCCAGGGTGGATTATTTCCCCCCTTACTTCCTGTTCCTTCCTGCCCCCCCCCCCCCCATCTTCCCTTGCCTCTCCACAGCCCTCCTCCCCTCTCATCTTCCTCCTGACGGCGTTGAGTTGTGAAGTGTTTAAAATGCATGTTGTATCAAATTATCAGTCAGTACCTTTTCTTTGCATCATTGGCACAGGCCTTTAAGTGGTTACATAACATGACAAAATTTTATTCATTTTAATTCCTTTACATTACAGCAAGGAAAAGTACCACACTTATCTACATTGTGCAGTTAGTTTTTATGTAGTGATGTAACAAGTGAGTAATCAATTAACAAATGTGAGGATTTGCAGCTTTTCTTTCTTTTATTTGATTATAAGTTGAATATTTTTGGATTTTGTGACTGCTGGTCGAGCTAAACAAACAATTCGAAACATGTCGACTTGAGATCTGGTAGTGGGGTAATGGGCAATGTTCACTATGTAACATCATTTTATTGACAAAATGATCTGTCAGTGGAAAAAAGGGCATAAAAGGGCAGATGAATTGGTAATGAATATAATTGTTACAGCCCAAATTGAAACAAATTAGTTTTTGTCACCAAATGAAGAAGCCTATGCGTGAACTTTCTGAGTTTCCCAGTTCAGAGCCCCATGATCGCCATTTGACATAGACAGAGAGGGTTTCCAGCCCGCTGTTGTGTTGCTCATTGCTCGGGTTTGTTGATAAATAGACGTGGCCCTCATCCTCTGCCACCACTTATATTTACCCCACACAGGCTCAAAGAGCTCTCGGACATGTCAAATGATCAGGCCGCCAGCGGTCAGCAACAGAGAAAGAGGGAAAAGGACACGCTGAAAGCCTTTGTCTCTGCCTGTATAATCAATTGACCTGATTGATAAGGGTGTGTCAGGGTTACATTGTGTGTGTGTTGTGTTTCCCACGCCCAGTGCTTCGTGTGTGTGTGTGGGGGGGGGGGGTGTTATCCGACCCTCTCTGCTCAGCCTCTGTCCATCAACAACTACCTCCGGAATGTTAATGAAAAACAACAAGGGAATCCCAAAGAATTTACCTCTCCGACTCTCACTCTGCTTTTCTCCACTATCAGCTCTGCTTTTTGTTGCAGTAGATGCTGTTTGAGTTCGCCGTCTTACTTTGTGTCGCTCTCTCTGTCTGACATTTCTCATCGGTTATCCGCTTTCTCTAGCCAATTTGCAAGGTAGGCACTATCGGTTAAAGTAGTTCTAAACCGCAAGTTGATAAGTTGACCAACAGAAAATGAGGGCTGCTCTCCAAAAGTCAATGATTCGAGACCCAGAGTCAACCTGCATTTTGTCAGTTGAATCCCTGCACACACACAGCAATGCAGGAGCAACAACGTGGCTATTTTGATAATCGTGTAACTATTTTAACATTTGCTGATTTCAGTCTCTTAAAGAGAGAGAATTTACTGATTGTTATGTGTTATTTTGTTTTTGTTTTAGATCAGTACAAATGGGTTGCTGGTTGTTCTGACAAAGCAAGCAATTTGACGACCACCACCCTGAGCTCTGGGAAAATCTTTCCCTGTTTTATGACATTTGATAGACTAAACTGTTACTTCTTTCATATAAAAAAATTATCGCTTGGGTTTAAAACCTGTTAAACAGCAACCGGCCCGTAGCTAAACATTGTTTAGACTCACCAAACTCTACTTTAAATTCCATTGCCGATCCCAACATTTCCAAAGATACAAAATATTCAGCTTTTTTGGGAAATGTGTATAAAATGATGCACAAAACGGAAAATGTCTATTTGTTGCATTCAGTATGTGAATCCCAGTGGAAAAATCATACCGCTTCATAGGGAAGCTGGAACAAACTGAAAATATGATACTGAAATATGAGTCAGGCAGCGTGGAATAAGTTATGTAACAGAAAACGAAAAGCAAAACTGATTGCTAGTTACAGCCTTAGTTTCAAGTTATACCCAGACACACAGACAAACAGAACTCTCCCACCTTCGCTTAACCCCAGAGGGTTACAATCAGCAGATGCCAGCGTGCAGAGACGTTAGAGTGGAGCTGCTGCCGCCTGATTTGGCTGTTGATGTCTGTTAACTGCCATTCATAGAGGAAGTCTGGCTAAACTGTCACTCCTGATCGAGACCCCGGGGGAGGGGCAGTTTCTGGTGTTTCAGGTCCTATGTCATCTTTCAGGATCGCTGCATATTTTCGCCGCCTTTCACCGAGAGTGTGGCTGCATGAAGTGTCCATGGTAAAGCATATGTGAGCGAGTGTACGGGCACAGGTCTGCTTCTACGCACATGCAGAGAGTCTTCAAGGTGGCCGGGCGTGCACGTGAGGTGTAAATGCACCCAGTCGCCACCTCAGGGGTACGTGAGAGGAGGGTGGTGGCACGTGTGTGATAGCAAGGGTGTAAATTGAGCTGTGATCGTCAAAGAAGCAGGATATGATTGGGTGAAATGACGGAGACCTTGTGCGTTTCAGCGCAGGGCACTTAGACACGCTCTGCTGTAAACTGCAGCCCGCTGAATTCCTGTTGCCTCCTGCCCCCTTTTTATCTCTCTTCCGTCACTCTCTTTGTGTTTGTGGATCTCCAAGCTTTCATCTCAGACTGAGCCTTTGAAATGCAATGCTCTCTTTTTCTGTCTCTCTCAGCCAAACACACACACACACACACACACACACACACTCCCTCTTCTGTCCTCGTACCTCAGACCTTTAGTTTGTTTTATTTTTGCCATATCTTTGGCTTTAATCTTCTACAGAGTATTTTATTTTTTTCATATTTGGTCCGATATGTCATATATATTCAGTATTTTCCCAATGTTCCTAAAATCCAGAGGGCTATAAAATAAGAGTTGTAGGAGGTCTGTCTTTATTTCTCTCCTTCCTGTATCGTGTCTTAAGAAGCTTCACCCATTTGTTGCTCCTTTTTTTCCCCCCTCCAATTCTCCATGCTCAGAAACACAAGGAGCGGGACAGGCACAAACCGAAACACAAGAAGACCATGGACATGTCGCCCTCCCTCGTCCTTCCAAACATCATGGTCCCAGACAAGGTGAGGGAATTGTGGCTGGGCTAGTTAAATATTACAGCAAGGCTGGCTGGTTGACTTTTTTTCTCTTTACCTTGATTAACCTTTGTAGCTCTTCTTGTGTATCCTTCACACGTCTTGTCCTTCCGCTGACCTGTCTCCCTCCCATTCCTTTCCCTCCTTCAGGCCTACAACAGCAGCAGCTCAGTGGGAGGTGTCGCCTCTCTGCCGGCGCCCTCACAGAAGCGGCTGGATGACGGCACGGCCCGTTTCACCACCGCCAACTTTCAAGAGGTGTCGTCCGCTCTGTCCGGCGGCGGTTCCAAAGACGGCTTGGCTGCAGACGCCGGGAAGGCGGCGTCTGAGGTGAAGAACAAGAAGAACAGCGGTGGAAGTCACGCAGCGGGGCAGAGGGGCGGCCGCAAGTCTCTCACCTCCTCAGGGAAACCCCTCCCCTCCGCCGTGGTCACCATGGCAACCTCCTCCACATCTGCATCTGCTTCTACCGGGCCTTTCCACCAAGGTGAATTGATGCCCGCAAATGGTCCTTTATGTTAATTTCTCCACAACTGGGATTTAACCCCGCACAATGACAAATCACCTGGTGTTACTGCTCGGCCCACCCACCAAAAAAACTGCCAGTACAGCACAATTGCAGTTACAGCAATGTTATTAAAACCCAAATAAGAGTGTGATTCATGTGTTTTATGTGTGTGTGTGTTGTGTCATTTCCTGGATTTTGGCCACACACCAGACTTTTGTGAGTGGCCGTGATAACAGTGTTTTCGTCGTGACTGGCCTCTGGCTCCTGTAATCGGGGCCCTGTCTGGGAAAAGACCAACACACACCGAAAGAATGAACATGTGGGGAGGTCAGGACCTGAAAGGAGTCTGTGCTCACACTGAGCTCCTGTGTTTTGCACTATCAGAACCTTGAAGCCCGGGTCAGGTGTGTGTGTGTTTGTGTGTCAAGTGGAGAAATGGTGTCTGCGTTTTAAGGGTCCTTTCAAGGCAATTCCTCTGTTTCCTGGGAGGACTACATAATGAGGGAGGGCAGCCCGTACAGCAGATAGAGAGCGGGAGAGCAGATAAAGTGCTTATTCCGGTTACCTCCTTTCTGTTGCTCCAATGATGATGGAATTACAGTCATTTGGAAACTTTCACTCTTGGTCTCCCTTAATTTCTCACTTTTTTTTGTTAATGTCTCTATTTACCACTTTTCTTTCTTTCTTCCAGGTCTCCTGTTGACCAGTGCCAGCAAGACGGCCTCCGCTCCTTCCTCCTCAGACTTTCTAAGTTTCTCAGATTCATCGTTGCGCCCTGGAGGCGGGACCACCTTCTCCTCTCCTCCATCTTTCAGCAGCTGCCTTGTGAAGCCGAGCTCAGAGGGCGGAGCTTCAGAGGGAACTACATCTCTCTTCGGTTCTCTGATGTCCGCCACTACGGCGTCTGCAGGTACGCTTATCTATGACGATGATCACTTATGGTTTTATCAAAATATATTTTTGGTTTTACCTTTTTTGTAGTAAAAATTACAGAAAGTTTAATTGTTAAAGGGGCACTAATTTTACATATCACAGTCAAGTGGCCACTCACAGGAAGATTCGTCAAGTCTAAGAGATTGACTCAAGTGACTTTGGTAATCTTGGGTTGAACTTCAACAGAAAACCTGCGTTACAAACTGCAGAAGGGAAAGATGTGGGCATTTACCAGTAAGGATGGTTCATGTTGCATGATGGGAAGTGTAGGATCCAATGTTTTTGGAGCTTGACCCATATTGGGGACCAATAATCAGGATATCTCAACTTCTGCTTCATCAGGTTTGTCTCCTGCAACTTCATGGAAGCGCAATACTAAATCGCTGGAGTACTCCTTTTAGTAATTTTTAAGCAGAAACCTTTATGCAAATACTCTCTGGTTTCAGTTCCTGAATAATCTTCTGTGATAGTAAACAGAATATCTTTTGGTTTTGAATTGTTGGTCAGACAAGCTATTTAGACATGTCTGCTTCTGTTCTGGAAAATTGTGCCTTTTTCAAAGTCCCTGAAATTTTATAGACCAATCGACAAATAGATTAAATGAGGAGGTAATCAGCACATGAATTAATAATGAAAGTAATCGTTAGTTGCAGCCCTAATTTACAAGAGAACTGATGATGCAGGATGTGCTTTCCTTTTTGTCTTTGATGGATCTCTGGCAAACACACCGCACCAAACACCAAGAACCCGCAGGCTTTATACTTAAATATTCAGTTCTGCTTTCTTATCATTTCAGTGGGCGGGAAGCTGTATGAGAATTCCCACAGTCACACAACGAGCGAGACGACAAGCCTCGGTGGGTCCGCTGCCTACAAACGGCCCCAACCCTCCAGCTCAGGGCCAGGGATCGGAGGAGCAGCCGTAGGAGGAGGGGAAGATGGGGTGAAGAAGAAAAAGAAGGGCAACTGGCGAAACCGATTTGGACCTTGCTTCACCACGGATGTAAAGCCTTCAGAGCCAGCTCCCTCCCTGACTCTCCCCACCTCCTCCACGGCCAACACCGCCTCGTCCACCGCCTCCCCTTCTTCCTCTTCATCCTCGACGCTCTCAGGCCGGCCAGGCTTAGTTTCCAGCAGTGGATTAGGAGTGGGAGGAGTAGGAGAAAGGGGGCTGGGGGTCATGGGTGTCAGCGGTGGAATTCAGAAGTCCCCGTCGCTCCTCAGGAATGGGAGTCTGCAAAGCAGCAGCAGCTCCATAACCACTGGGCCAGGTGAGAAGGACACAGCAGGCTAACGCACACAAAACACAACGTTTCACAACAGTGATGAGAGTTTCTTTGAAGCTCAGGCCTCACAGATCTCACAATGAGAAAAACTCTCTTGGATCCCTTCGTCTTTCAGATGCATTTAGGAAATTATCTTCACAATTTTGCTGTAGCTACACAAATCACCAGAAATAATGAAATAGCTGTTTGCAGCTGAAAGTGGGCCGGTGTAATTCAAGAGTTATCAGCCGATTACATCTTGTTAGACAAAGAAGTTGTGTCCCACGGTGCTCACAGTAATGTCATCAAAATGATTAAAAGGGAAGTGGCTCATGTGTGGCATTGCCGTTTTTTGTTCTGCACTTCCTTTGCCATTCGTCACTAAATGCTGACGAATGAAACGCAAAATGTTTGTGGACTGCCTCTGTGCGGCAGTGTATTCACATTACCAATCACAAACAGCGAGGTTTTGACACTCCGTTGTAATTGGCTCCTTGTGTGCGTGTGTCAGAGTGCGGGTCTATGTGTTATTTGCTCACACACGTGGAAGTGATCTGTATGTCTCCCCCCACCCCCCCAATCGTGTTCAGTTGCTTGGCAACTGTCTTTATGCTTTGGAGTTCCCCTCTGCTGATGAAAATGGCTCCACACATCCCACATCGCCCCTTTCTTCCTTTTGTTTCTCTCCTCCTGCTTCTCTCCGCTGCTGTCTCTTACCTACATTCTGCTCATTCCTCAAATCCTCGTCTCACCTGTTGATGCTTTATGCAGTTGAAGGTATTTGTGTGTTTGCAGAGTCCCAAGTCCAAATGCAAATAAAGAAGAATATATGTGCTAATCAGTAATCAGGCCAATATCCATCACTGATCTTTAGCATCAGCTGATCTGATACTGATCACCAATTTGTTCCTGTTCTGTAACGATTTTACACAACAAGACTCTTGCTTAAGAGACCCTTATGAATCTTTGTCTGTTACTTATTGAGCCTATTTCTGATGATTCCTCATTCTAAAATATTAATATACAGTACTTTTCAAAGTGATCCATTCATCTTGTTAAATGATGTGTGTCGTTAACCTTCAAAATCTATAATAAATATTAGACACTGCCATGCATTGGAGCATTTAAAGAATATCTCTAAAAGTGTGACAATGATACGGTTGATTAGTAGGAGTATAATAATACTCCGATTTAAAAATTTTTGTTTGTTTTGGTTTGACTGTCTCATTCTTGGCTACATATTGTGAAACATACATGGGTATTTAAAAACCTAAACCAATAAAAAATGTTGTAGTCTTTGACTGCTTGCATGTGCATAAAGGTGTTGAGATTAAGAAATTATAATTTTGTTTATGAAAGGCAGATGTTTTGGCTGTCTAACACATTGAAATGACTGTATCATTGTAAACTCTCCAGTGTATTGCAAAGTCTTTTCAGAGGGGTGCTTAGTGGAGTGTGTGAGTCAAACCTGAGGACTAGTGCTGTTTTGCGTTCTGAATATAAGTTTTTGCAGCAGTGGTGGTTGAGGTCCATCCCAGTGTTGGTGCTTGTGCTTTTCCCTACAGCATTTCTGCTGGTGGGCCACAGCTGGTGAAAGAAGATAGGGAAAACAGGGTGGTTATATATGGCTATGCATTATGTGTGTGTCTGAGAATTATATGTTCCCTTTCCTACTGTAAATATTTAGCTAAGGGTTAATGCAGGGCAGTAATGGGGAGGATCTTGGCGTTTATCTCCCTCCTCCATCCTGTCTGACTCCACTGTGTGCTGATGGATAGATAGTTAGCCTGATAGATATGTGTTGGAGGGTGGGGAGAGGCAGGGGGTTAGATTTTGGCTAGGTTAATGTTTGATGGCAGGGGGGTCACTGATGGGACGGACGAGCTGCTGGACCGCAGTGGGGGAGGAAAGATGTTTGGTGGACATTAATTTATTCAGGTTTGTGTGTGTGTGTGTGTGTGTGTGTGTGTGTGTGTGTGTGTGTGTGTATTAAAAAAAAAAAAAAGACAAGAAAACACAACATGTGTCTTGCTGTTCAGTCATGTATGGTTAGCTTATTTATGTGATGTTTTTGTTGTTTTTTTCCTAATCCCAGTGAAATTTGAATTATCAGCTGTTTTACTGCAAATCACATGTGAAGGGAAGTTGTGAAAACAAGGGAAATACTCAGATAACAAATTAGAGATTGGTGAGAAACCTGTATTTGCAATTTCTCCCTTACATACGTAATGAACTGTGTAGATGAAACATGGTTTTTGGTAAAATGCATTTCTGCATTAGAAGAACATTTTTGGATAATTATGAATAAAAATATTTTTGGGCGCTTTGAAAATTTCCTTCACAATATTCATTTTAAAGCAAAAAAAAAAATAAAAGTTTTAGTTTAAAACTGAATTGCAAAAAAAATAATAATAATTGTAGTCATCAGTATATTTAACAAGTCTGAGCACTTCAGTGTACCAAGCATATTTTTGGAGAACGGAATGTATCCAAAACACACGTTGTTAAACACTTGAAGCTGAAGGAAAAACAAGACAAAACAAACACACACGCAGATAACGTCTAACAGACAACACATCTGAAAATTGGAGACAAAGTGTTTCAAAGTGACAGCTCTTTCATGTAAATAAGAAAATGTGTTTTTCATTAGTTAAACTCTGCAAAATAAGCATATAGTGAAAAAAAAAAAATCTTGTGAATTTACAGTAGTTCAACCCCTTGACTTGTTTTACTTCTACCTACCTTCTAACTGCTCGTAGTTGCAGAGACTCTTGGATTTGGTTTTCTGCTCAAACTGTTGTTGATTCTGTAGCTGATAAGGCTTCATCGGCCTATGGAAGACCTACAAACATTTCGTGATATACGCGCACACACACACACACACACACACACACACACACACACACACACACACACACACCCTTTACATTTACTGCCCTCGATGTGGCTCTGCTCCCTCCACACATTGCTGTGATGTTTGAATACATTTCTATTTAGCTTTCCTATTCCCTTTTTAAAACTGTGATTAAACAACTGCAGTTTTTCAACAAAAAAACAAGCCACGGGGCCCAGTATTCAGCATAACCCTGCTACTGGGATGGACATTTCCTTCTACACAGAATTTGGAGTGAGTTGTCAGTGAAAACACGTTTTCAGCTGTTGAACAACAGAGTACGATGCCGTCCACTTGGTTTTTAGATTGGACTTAACCTTCCCTAAATAGACAACATAGATTTCCTATGGTGATAATACCAGCTTGAACTAATCAAGGTGGATATTGTTGAAGCTTACAGACGTACTGAGCAGGAAGGGAAAAGGAATAGCAAGGTCGGGTGATGGAGGCAGTTGTGCTTCAGGGGTTTAATGTTATTGATCACACAGATAGGGTATAGGTTTTACAAGCTCAGGGTGTGTGTGTGTGTGTGTGTATGTGTGTAAATGTTTTTTGCTTCTTTGTCTTCGTTTTGCCATCCGCGGGGTTTTAATTTCGATCAAAAAAGCAGTAATCCAATGATAATCGCTTTAAAAAACAGCCTTGTTGTTGACATGCTCATATACGTTTTTAAGTTGTTGGTTTATTTTATTTTTTTTAATAAAACAAAAGTTTTGTTAATGCACAGGTTGTAGCTTTTTGGGCGGAGGATGTAATCCTGCTTTTCCGTTAAAACGTGAACATCAACCTGAGCCACAAGGTTTTCACCTAAAAGGGACCATATTTAAAATAATATAAAACTATATAAAAATTTAAATCACAGCATAAAACATTTGCTTAAATCTGGCGTTAACATTTTAGCTTGAACCTTTACTTCCTGCTTGCTTAAAGCAAATCTGAAAATAACCAGCTGTGTAGCATGTTTATGTAATTCAGGAAAATAAATAAACATTTACAGCATACGTAGTTTGTAATTGATAAACACCTGTCAATTTTGGGACATTTTAAATAACCTCTGTATTGTTATATCATAAAGTCAATATGAATTCAAATGAACCTGTGTTTTTCTCCTGTTGCTGGCCCTGTTTTTGCACCACCCCTTTGTGCGTAACACATTTCATCAATGGCGTGAGCTAAACTCTGATAAACTGTTGGTTTGCCCTCTAATCCAGCTGCTGAAAATCTTGCAGGAGCTCGTGCCCCCTGAGTCACGGCAGCCCTGCTTTGGGAATAAATTTTTCTGGTGCGTATTACAAAGCGTTAAAAATAGTATGTAGGCCCATGTAGCGTTCGTATCTCTCGCTCTCCCTCCTCCCCTCCCCTCCTGGCACAAAGATCTCTTGTTCCCCCAGTGAATGTGTGCTGCCCTGAGCCATTCAGGCTTTTGTGGGACTGAGGGGCCCTCTGCTACCCCCCAACCCCCTCCTCCCCTCCTGCTGGGGTCAAAGGGGGGGCAGGGGCAGGGCTTATCCCTGGTTAGTGGGCGAGCACAGGGGTGTGTGAGGGGAGGGAAGTGGATAGAGAGAAAGCAAAGAGATAAGAGAATGGCGCATGCAAACGGGTGAAAATGGAGTAATGTATTTGCGTACGTGATTTATAACGGGTGTGTATTCTGCAGTATAATATTCATGATTTTTTTATTAGCAGAATAAAATGGTGGGTTTTTGACTGAATTAGTACAAAGAATACACAAACGTGACGATGGATTTTCCTCCTCTCTCTTCTGTCCCAATATGTGAAAGCTTAATGTGATTGATTTATTGTCAGATTTTTGCCACTTTGGGTCACCAGCTGTGTGTGTATGTGTGTGTTTGACCTTGAGTTTATTATAATTTACGGAGTTTTTACGATCATAAATAAACCAAATTATCTGACCCGCATACTCAGGCAGGCGTATATACTTAATCATGCATTACATTTGTTGATTTTATTAATCATGCATTAAATTTGTTTTTATTAATCATGCATTAAATTTGTTTTTATTAATCATGCATTAAATTGGTTGAAGTCAACAGATCGGCACCTTGTTTAAAACTTAATGTTAGATGTTCCATTATCCCTGTAAACGCTTCATGCTCTGCTATAGTAATTTCTCTAAGGTTCTAAGGTTTCTAAGGTTATAATGGCAAAAAAATATATTTTATCGCTCTGGTTGTTTTATGTGTTTAATGACAAGTTGTCAGTCAAATAAGAATGTGTTTAGTTCGGCTTTTATGTGACAAAGACATCGTGTTAAGCAACATCAAATCCAAAGTAATGCATGTACCAAACATCCAGACCCAATGCAAGAATGAAACAATTGACAAACAATTAGGCAAATTTTAGAGCTGCTATACTGTTAGTTATGAAGGAAAAGCACAGGTGTTAATAATATTAATGATGGCTCTGTTGAAATGTCTGTAATAATATATTATATAATATATTGGATTATTGTCCAAGTAAGCCAGACCCTGAAACTGAAGCAGCTGAATGAAATTCAGCAATCTTTAATTTTATTATTTATACCTGCTTATAGCGTCACCTGTCAACAGTATTTGTCTAAAATTCATTTTTTCATCTTATTATTTAAATGCAGTGTTATATGAAGATCACGCTGTTATTTGTTATTTCTGATTTCTCCACAGGTGTTTTCTCTGGTGCTGATGGCTCATCGTCGGGGACAGGAGCTGTCGCTGTGGGCGGAGCCATCTCAGAGTTGTCACAACAACAGCAGCCCACGCCTTCACTAGCCCCTCCCTCTCCCTTCACTGCCACCGCACCGCTAACCAGCACAGCCTCCACACATGTGAGTCTAAACACACAACCTGTGCTAAAAAAAAACTCCATGACCTCCTCACTCTTACCTTCAGAGAAATGTATGCTCATTAAACACACTCAATCTTTCTTTCTGTCTTTCTTTAACAAACACACACACCTTCAGTCAGCACCGTCTGCATCTGTCAGGTCACCCACATCTCCCGCGTCTTTGAGCTGAAGTGCAGATAAACTGTGGGAACACAAATAAACCAAAGCACACTAATTAAACGTCTTACACACCAAATCTCTCAGCACCATTATTAATCCACCACATGTTAATTATGTGTGAAATGTGTGTGTCCTGACCTTGTGCCGATTGTTTCCTCCGCGAGTTATTCTATCGCTGATTTCAAACGGTGCACCTGTAGAGCGGCTGTCTTGTTTATTCAGTGCATAAAATTAATCGTTTTAAAATAATTTTAAAATAATTTTAAAACGATTCATACTATAATTATTTCTCTAAACATGTCATTGAAACATCTAAAATTCTCCAGCCTAATTCAGTAACTGTTGACCTTAGTGTGCACGGTCTGTTTTTTATTATGTTTTGTATTATAACATGAAGTGATGCCTCTTTATTACGGTAAATGTCCAGGAATTTGAAGGAATGCAATAAGAAAGATACCACACAGGGGAAAACCATGATTTTCCTTTTTGAAAATAAAGCAGAAATTCAGTGTCCAATAGCTGGAAAAACCACCAAGGCTATGTGTTATTGTAATACGCACTCACTATTTTGATTTCCATCATGTCCCTTAATGTGGAGAGCGGGGGTGGGGGGCTTTTGGGTAACGCTGGGAAAAGTCCAGACTGCATATTTCAGGAAAATAATTAAAAAAAATTTTTTTACATATTTTTTTATTTATAGATACAAGATAATTGCAAGCATTTTTAAGCCATTTTAACCTTATTTTTGTTTAAACCTCGGATGTTAAAGCAACAGTTTTATCCAGATCAAAATGAAGGATGTTGATTTTCACACATAAGACTGCAGTTGTTATGCCTTTATTCAAAGTGTAATAGTTTTCGGTGTATCCTATTGGCATAAATACCCTTATATTCAAAAGTGAGAGCACTGACTCTTAATTCGAACAGCTCAACCCACTCCAGTAATCACTGTCCCCATCTCCCTAAAAGAAAAAAGAAAAACTCATCTTCAGTCACTGACCCCTGTGTCCCCATCCTTTCAAAACCTCCCTAAAGACCATGCTCTGTCTCTGTCCACCCAACTCCATTTTTCTCCTGTGTCCACTTACCACCCCTCGTTCTCTTTTTCACACACACACACACACACACACACACACACACACACACACACACACACACACTTTCTCTCACCCTCGACCTTCCTTCTCTCTGTTCCATCCATTTCTCTTTTTCTCCCTCCGTTGTCCTGTGATGTAATGACATCTGACAAGCACCACAGTAGGGATGGAGGGAGGGATTGGGCCTGTGTGTGTGTGGTTGGGGGGGGGGCACTCATGCCTTGAATTCGCTGGCCTGGCCTTCGTCTTGCCCCGCTCCTCTCTGTCCAGCACATATAGAGGACGGGAGGCCCAGGGAAGCACAGGATATCACGCCTGTATGCAGCATGTATAGACAAGTTTGGGCAGTAACTCCCTGTGTTTGCACGTGTGTGTGTGAGAGAGAGAGAGAGACAAATAGAGAGCAGCAGCAGAAAGCCAGAGTGACTTTTAATAGAGAAAGAATTTTCCCCCCTTTCTGTCCAGATTGTTAAAAACGTGTGTGTCGGTTTGTGAAGTGTGATGTACGGCTCTGGGCATCTGGGACGCACACACAGCCCGATTCAAGGCTGCAGAAATTATGCAACTATAGAAGGACGCCAACAACAGGCTTCCCTCAGCGCGCGTGCGTGCGTGCGTGTGTGTGAGTGACAGAGACCATTTGCTATTTTCAGTCCACTAGCAGACTCCCAGCCTACTGTTATTGGCTATCAGCCCAGGACAGTGAAAGGGAGTGTGAGAGAGACTTTGAATGAAAAATGAATGAAAATGAAAAATGAATGTTGATGGGAAAGGGGCAGGATTATTACACTGAGAGGAGGAGGAAGAGGGAAGGAGGAATGGGGGGGGGGGTCTAGAAAGAAATCTGAAGTCATTTTAGTGGGGGGGGGGGCAGGTTCTTTCTTCAAATGTAACATTTAACATTTATTTCCAGGATGTTTTCCAGATTTTATCATTTTATACAAAGCACTTCCATAAATTTGTAATAGGAGATTATGGCTTTCTAGTGTGTCGTCCCCCCCCCCCCGGGGGCACCCTAAATTTCAGCAACTGGATAGGAATGAGCAATAGATGGGAAAGGAAGGTAGGCGAAGCTTCACAAATGTACATCTGAAACTTTGTGTTATTTAACAATTTGGTGATCAGTGATTTTCTGAACATGCTTCTGTTTCCTGCTCAGTCGTACCAGACTATTTAAGCTCTTGAACATATCAATCCTATCAATAAATTACAGAATTGTCTTTTGACACCAAGAAACTTTAAATAACTTTTAAAATAAATATTTCCTCTTGCTTCAGCGCTCCTGAAACTTAAAAACAAATTGTGGAAGAGCAACCTCCACTGATTGAAATCAGTTTTCCGCCGTGTCACATGCTTTGGTCATAGCTTTTTTTTTTTTTCTTGTACTCTTCAGCAACCAAAACAGTCAGCCATTTTGTTCTTTTAGATAAATCTGATTCCATTCCTGATGCTCCGCCCTCGCTCTCCCCCCTCTAATAACACCCCACCCTTCCCTCTCCAGACCTTATTTGGGAAATGCCTTAATTGGATTAAACTATATGCATCAGAAACACTTTGTCAGCACGTCAGCGTACTGTCGGGTGTCGAGGCACTCTGAGCCCTGTGCATGTGTGTTTGTGTTTAAAAGAATAATGAGCTGTTGATCCATGATATGTCCTTGTTTTTTGTACATGAAAAGATGGTAAAGTGCTGTCAAGTCCACATTAAGATTTTTTTTTTCTCCATTCAAATAAGCTTCAGGGGCAGGAAATGTGTGGCTGCTTTGTGACAAAGCAGAATCAATAGTAGAGACCAGAGAATTTAAATTCTTAAACCAGATTGATCAGATTGATTCTCAGCTTTGGACTCAGACTCATTAAATGTTTAATAATGTCCCAGTCGGACCTCCAAAAAGCTGTAACACACACCTGTAAAGTACGCACCAAAGACCCACGTGACTGTGCAGCATTTTATTTAAATATCAGTTCAGTAACTCAAACAATTCCCACTCAGGCACAGATGACTACTTTTTGCTACTGTCCAAGAAGTTTAACAGAAATATTGTTGAAATAATAGTCAAAAAATCAACAGAAAAAAATTTGATAATTAATCTTTTAGGTCATCTACCAAGCAGAAATACAAAAATCTGCTGGTTTCAGCATCTGAAATGTGAGAATTTGCTGTTTTAAAAAAAAACTAATTTAACATCATATTTGTGTTTTGCACTGTTAGGCTCTGGGAAATTATGACATTTTTTGGCTATTTTGTGATATTATTGACACTAAACTATTCATTAATAAAACTAACAAAATAATTGACTGAAATATGTAATGCATATAAATAAATAAAATAGTCATATATTGTAGCACTAAAATGATATTTCATTCAATGAAAATTTATTTTGTTTGTTCTAAATACACAGGGGTATTTCCACTATTTCTGAAAAGCAGTTTGCCACTTGACACATTGCTGGACGTTAATTTCTCAACTTCCTGTTGAGCATCATCATACCTTGTAACTGCTTTGTGGGGGGACTTTTGTTGCATGTCACACTCTTCTCTCTCCTCCCCCCTTTGTTTCCTGTTTGCTTCTTTATTCCCAGCTACTTAATAAAGGCGGGAAAAACTGCCTGTCAAGAGATTATAACCAAGATTTCAGTCACAGTGAAACATGGCTTCTTGTGATTTATTCTTGTCCCTGTCTGTGCCTTCGTCTACAGGTGAGCGGCCTGCCAGGTTCAGTCTTCAACCTCGCTCCTCCCCACATGTTTGGCAACAGGCTGAACCCCAACTCGGCCATGGCGGCACTCATCGCCCAATCCGAGGCCTCACCAGCAGGTACGGCAGCGTACCTAATGTCGCTGTGTGTGAATGTGACAAAAATATGCGTGTGTGTGTTAGAGGGAGAAAGAGAGGGAGATAATGGATAGGTCACTCCCCCTCTGTCCCATAGAGAGTTCAAGGGTCAGCTCTCGTGATTTTTTTCAAGCTCCTCCCCCTCAGCTCCAGTTACACGCCCCTCTTACCATTCCTTTTTGTCACACACACTCACAAACAAATAAAGCACATCAGCTCACACACACATAATTTACATGTCAAACTTGGAACTCTCTTCTAAACTTTGGCCACTGTGAGAGGAAGAGGAGGGATGTGTTGAGGTAGCGGTGTGGAGAGGGGCCGGGAGCTGCCTTCAGCTCCTGCAGTAGAAAAGGAGGTGGTTTGTTGTCTGTCCAGCGCAGAGGAGCTGATGAAAGGAGGTAAGACGTGGCTTCAGTAATGAGTGGCCACTTCCTGATACAAGACATCTGGTTGAACAGCAAGGAGAGACGCGAGAGAAAAGAAGGGAGAGGAGCAGAGAGAGTTAGAGAGCGAGGTGGAGGAGGAGGAAGGTAGGTAGTTCCTGCTGCCGGTCATCAGAGCCAGATCCGCACTGACCTGCAGGTCAACTCACTAATCAGCCTGAATGACAGGGGGCCACAGGGCTGTGTGTGTACGTGCAACAGATATACTAGACTGGCTCTGTGTGTAGACACAAGCAAGCTTTGTGTAGTCCCTGGGAAAAAAAAACCATTTGGTGGCATTGGAAACAAATTGTCACAATGTAGTGGTAACTTTATTTCACTTTATAAGAATGTGTTTCCCCCAAATAAACATTAGATTTAATTTCTAAGTAGAATTTTAGTGTGTGTGTGAGCATTAACATGGAAAAAAAACAAGCATACCATATTATTTGATATTAGATTGTAAAATATGCCTCTCAGATTGCAAGGTGACTTCTTCAAATGTCAACCGTCCAAAAGCCAAATATTATTCAGTTCAGTTATTTTAAAACAGGAAAAAGAAGCAAATCCTCATTTGAGGGGCTGAATCCTGAGTTTTGTTGCTCAAAAATTGACTGAAATAATTGATTGCTTATGAAAATAGTTGTTTTTAGTTGATTGACTAATATAATAATAATAATTTTAATCTCTAATCAGTAATGACAGTGATTGTTATGCAGCCCTCCTGAACATTTCCTTACCATAAAGTTATACACACAGTTTACAGCACGCGTGTATGAAGCATGAAGCTCTGTTTGTGAACTAGTAAGGGTCATGTGAGCACAAACATGCAAGGTGTGCGTGTGTTTGTATGCATGTAGCCTGTTTACTTTGGCAGCCGTTTCTCTTTGCTTTTGAGCGTCTGGAGGGAAAGGGGTTACGAGAGGGGGAAAAAAAAGACTTGAGAAAAAAGACGAGCGGGCGACTAGAGTGGTGACCTGGTGGGGGTAAAAGCTGGGATTGACCGTCTTAAGTAGAGGGGAGTTTGTGCGAGTGTGTAAATGCAAAAGTGCGCGTTTGCATGTGTGATTCATTACTCTTACAGGGGAAAATGAAAGGAAGCGCCTGGCCAGGGGCCCAGGGGGAGGAGGTGGAGAGGGAGACTCTCAGAGGGGGTAGAGGGAGAGAGAGAAAGACATGCAGTTTGAATGAAAGCTCGTGTGTGAAAGAGATACAAAGGACGAGAGGCAAAGTTTTGTAGGTTGCAGAGCCACGAGTATTACAATACGTCCAGGCTACTCAGGCTACATTTGAGTAGTTTTTCCCTTTGTTTTGGCACTCTGTCTCCAGAGTGGATAACTCTGAAAACGACAATGTGTTTTCATGTGGATGAGGACGGCATTTCTTTTCTTTAAATACTACATGAACAAATATATACATTCCTTTTGCCACAAAAGTGTGTGATCCCACATAGTGACAGTGCTTCTGTTTAGGGACAATTAGAACTGAGTCATATAAAACTCTAATATAAGAAATGCCATTAGACATATCTGGGAATTTGGGAGCGGTAGTGTTGCGTTGATGTGCCGTCAACACTAATCACAGATATGGAGTATGTGAAAATCCATAAGCATGTTTCACAGCTGGAGTCATCAGTTCAAAATAATGTTTACAAGAAATTCTCATAAAATGAATCAAAGTCATGAAGTATCGAGCTTATACAACAATGTTAAGTATGATGTTCGAGCTGTTAGAGAGCCATTAGGGTTAAGAAGACAACTAATTTTAAATGGCAATAAAGCCAATCACTCGATACAGTCATCAAGCTGTATTTATATTTATTTTGTCTGCACGTGATCTGCTGCTCGCTTGGTCAATAGGTGATCTTTATCGTTAATGATCGTTAAAACACAGTATTTGTGATCCCAGGGAGCAGGAGGGCACACAGCAGATGTTTAACCAGTGTAGACAGCAGAATAACCAGGCTGTTGGTCTCACTCCTTACCAGATGTTGACCCTCCCCAGAACGTTCTTTGTGTTTGTCTTAATAAATATGGCCTAAAAATTTTTGTGTGGATGCACGTCGTTTTCACACACAGTCTTTTCAACTTTAGCCAGCTTAGTGTGGACTTGTTCTTAGATATGCAATTGATTTTTGTGTGTGTGTGTAGATCAGGAGGTGGGAGACGGCAGCAGCGGCGTCGGAGCTCAGGGCTTCTCCATAAGAGCTTCTCCCAAGACCACCCCGCGGTGAGTACACACTCAGAGAGATGCCTCCCCACCCGCCCATCCCTCCACATTTACATTCCTCACTGCCCCCCCCACCCCCCATCCCCCTCTTTGCTTTTCCCTCCGCTGGCCTCTCGTCTCCTCTCGCTTGCTCTCACTCCTCACACACACACATGCACACTCTCCCTTTTGCTCTTGCCCCTACAGGCAAACTTCGCTCTCTCAGCCAACGATAACTTGTGTTTTTTGAAGGTGGTAACCATCCCTCAACTCCGGTTAGATTTTTTTTTTTTGTCTTTGTTCATCCACACATGGAAAGACAATCTGATGTTTTGCTGCATCTCTTTCATTGGGGAATATTTGCATGGATCTTTCAGGATGGGAATATTGTTGATACAAATTCATTTTTGTTTGTTTCCACTTCCCTGTGTGATGGATAATTTCACTTGATGAGGTTGGTTTCAGTTTCCATTATTCTGGTTATTTGATTTTTTACAAAGCACAGTTTATTATTTCACGTCTTGCATTTAGGGGGCATTGTGTGGGAAAGGGTGACATTTAATTTTAATTGAAAAATATGGTGACCATAGCATGTTTAACTTTTTATACCTTGAGAATGTTTTAATTATTTAATGTGTCAATGTAAATAAAGCTAATAGTTAAAAATGACATTTTTGGATCATGCTGTGAGATTGACACATTGATTCAAAAGTGGAAAAAATCTTGCCATTACAGCCTGTTTTTCACATTACGTACCTCTCTTTCTGTCCTTTTAATCTCTCCTGCTGTCCCTCATTTCCTCTCTTTCACACTCAACAGATTGTCTCAGCATACACACCACAAGATTTATCGCTTCAAGACAGTCCACTTTCCTCATTCTCTCTCTCTCGGATGTCCCGTTCCTTCCTCCCTCTCCTTCTCTCTGTCCGTCTCGCACACACAGACAGAAAGCCTGGCCCCTTTTCATTAGAGGCCACTGTAACAACAAATTGATGTAGTTTTATAGCCAGTAGTGTCTATGTTTGTCTGACGTTTATGTTGGGTCGTTAATCTCCCCATTGACCTCTCTATCCCTTTTCTATCCATGCTCTTTCTCTCTCTCTCGCTCTCTCTCCCCTTCATTCAGCTCTCCCATTGGTGGCCTGCAGATCCGCTATGACTCCTCGGGGTCGTTGCCGGGGCCGGGGCCAGGGTTGCTAGGGGTGGGAGGAGGCGGAGCGGAGACTGTGCCCCCAGTGGCCACCAGCATAGAGCAACTCCTGGAGAGGCAGTGGAACGAAGGGCAGAGCTTCCTGCTGCAGCAGGGAGCGCAGGGAGACGGTGAGAGAACGCACACACCTGAAGACGCAAAAGATTTAGAAGAGGGGAAAATAGATTATTGAGTTTCCTGCTCGTGTGATTATTTTTTGTGGTTTTCCCGGTATTTTGTAATGTCAGACATTAAATGATTGTCTCCATCGTAATAACAGTTGGACATAATTCAGATTTTATGTTTCATCCGTGACAAAGTCTGATATGCAATTTCTTCTAAATATATTATGATGTTGTCAATGAATCGAATCAAACCAAATGTTAAAATTGTCAAAATTGTCAAGCTGCACAAGAACTTGTCTAAAAAAAAAAAATCCATCATTTAGCAACATTTCCAGATTTAATTTAAATCAGGAACCCTCTGATTAAAGGACACGTGGACAAGATTACAAATGTGGCGAGACATCAGTGCCAACTTTCAGTCATACATTTCTGTCGGTACCACAAAAAAGTGTTGAAACTATATATAGATATATTGATAACCAGCGCTACACACTCTATGGCTCATCATTTTGCCCCATTTCTCTCTTCCTATCAATTTGATAGCCAACAAATGCCTTCCAGTTGCCATTCACACTGCCTTTTTCTCCCTCTTCTTTCTCAGTCTGTTATTGTAACATCTGTCGATCTCTGTCAGTTATCTGAACATGCCTGTAGGGTTCTGTAAAGTGAAAATAAAAGAGGTCACGTTGGCAAATCATCCTCATCCTCACTGAGTCTGCACAGGCACCAGGATCAGTGTTCTGTAGCTGATCTTGACCTCCGACCTCCCTGTGGAGCATATCTGTCTAATCAGTCACTAAGTTGTATGGTTTAGCCTTAAGGAAGGAGCGACCTTTCAGAAAGTCAGAGCGTCGGCGTTCTCGCTTATGAAAAGATCCCTCCAATACAGCTTTATCCCATAGGTACAAAACATTAGGTCTGCAGTGAAGGTAAAATCAATTGAAGTTTGAAAAACCTGGGTTGACTTCACACCTGCGACAGAAGGACTATTTATACATAATACTCTGATCAATCAAATCAATCAGTTCTCTCCCTCCCTCTCGTTCAGTGGTGGCCATGTTGAAGTCCCTCCACCAGCTGCAGGAGGAGAACAGGAAGCTGGAGGAGCAGATTAAAACTCTTACTATGAAGAAAGAGAGACTGCAGCTTCTCAGCGCTCAGCTATCAGTGCCTTTCACCCCCACCACAGCCGCCTCTGGTACACACACACACACACACACACACACACACACACACACACACACACACACACACACACACACACCAGACTGAATGTTTCACAGAGAAGTAAGGAGTGTCAGTGAAGTAATTTTCAGTTATACTTAGCAATATGTGTATTTGATAATTGCAAAAATAGGTCGCAGATGTAAGATGGTGCAGAAAAAGCACAATGATAATGAACACATGTTTACGCTTTGTCGTACTTAACTACACACAAGCCTTGAGCATTCTCAACACCTGCACCCAAACGCACACCGACAAGAGCTAGTCGATCAAGAGAAAGCAATTGTGCAACAACTTTTAATAATTAGTCATTACACTTGTTTAATAAAGCAAAATGGCAAAAATTTCCTAATTTCAGCTTCTGAAACGTGAAGATTTATTGCCTTTATTTTAAATTTAACATCTATTTTATGGACGTATCGATTAACTGATAACAGTAATCTGCAGAATAAACGATGAACTTAATCAATGAAAATAATCATTAATTGCCGTCCTAATTATACACACACACAGAAAAGATCTAATCCTGCATTAATTTGTGTTGCAGATGTGAAAGGAGCCACTGACTCATCTTTACCTGTGGCAGCTCAGGTACGAACAAACACCCAGCACATGATAGTCAGTTTGCATCACCACAATACAACACGGTGCATTAACATGTTATTAATGTAATAACGGAATTAGCTACAGTTCAGTGAAACGAGCATCTAATGATGAGGTCTTGTTATGCGAGTTAATGTCTTGATTTTTCACCTTATTACACGGTAAATTAGGTGAACCACAGTGATCACACATTACATTTGTAATGAAGTACACCTTCAAAGATCATCATTAAAGGGGTTCGTCTCTCCCACTTCCTCTCTCAGGACAGCGCGTCGTGTGGTGGCCACAGCAGTAGCGGCTCCACTTCATCTCTCTCCACCCCTCCCTCTGTCTCCCAGAGCCCGCCGCAGCTCAATGGCGTCGCCGCCGCGGGAACAACCTCAGCCGGGCTGGGTGGGGTGGCGGGGCTGATGGGGGCTCTGGGTGCAGGGAGTGCACTGGGCATGGGGGGAATTGTCGGAACACTCAACGGGGTGATCCAGACGCCGGCAGGCACCGCCAGCCCTCACACTACAGGAGCAGCTACGGGCGTCACGTTGCCTGTTAATAATAGGTACGTGTGACGGCTGCTTTGATCATCCAGACACTCAGATTAAAGAAACATAAGGAGTCAAGCAAAACTGAATGCAGGTGGTGTCACCTCACCCACCACAGCAAACCAGTTTACCGTCAGTGGATTGAAGGTCTCCAAATGCATTCCAGTGGCCTTCCTTTGACTTTGGAGATTTCAGCCACTCTGTCCCTTCAGCTCATCTTGAAGTATTGAAAATACCAGAATGATTCCTAATGTTATGTAAGGGAACAACCTCGCCTCTTTGTTTCCCAAGATGTCTGAATGTGAACTTTATTGCGCCCTCTCCGCTTTTGTTTCCCTTTGCTTGCATGTTGGATTGTAGCAGCTCAGCAACTAGCAAGAACAGGTGAGACAGAAGTCAGTTCAGCTGCAGCTCTGTTTACTTCATGTCCCTAAAGTCTGTCAAAAGACACTGTAAGATGTATTCCTGCGTGTTTAGTGTGTGTGTGTGGTTATGTAAATCCATATCCCCTTTTAGCAATATCACATTTTCTAGCTTTTTGGCAACTGAAGTAAATTCTTCAGGGCCAATACTCTAGTTGTCATGTTTGTTTTATGTATGTCGCATATTGCTGCAGTCAGCAGTTCCTGGTGGGCCCCTCTGTGTAAATATTAAAATCGAAATTGTGCATTAAAATATCTCATGCTAAGAGCCGATAGCGTGAGGACACCGTGTTTGTTGTGTTTGTCTTAGCGAGTTGTGTTTTTGTCTTGTCAGCGCCGCGCGGCTCGGCCTGCTGTCTGAGCAGCACAGACTCCTCCTGCAGCAGCATCAGCTCCAACAGCTGCTGTCCTCACAGCCCTCAGCGGTACGACACACACTCACACACCCACACACACTAGAAGGCTTGCAACTACTTACTGTCATCACCACTATCACACACAGTTGAACACATACAAAGACATTGACCTACAATTTTCCTTTGGATAATGGCCTAAATCACCAAGCTTATTAACCCTTATTCTTCCTTTCTTATCTGAAACTTTCTTTTTATCCCAATTTCTTTCTCCTGCATTTTCCTCTTGCTCCCTCCTTTTCCTCCTTGTTTCCTCCATCTCCCCTCCCTCCCTCTCTCCCCCCGCCCAGGAGCAGCAGCAGGTGTTGCTCTACCAACTGATGCAGCAGCAGCAGGACCTCCAGCAGCTGCAGTCCCTCTCCTCCTCTGCCCAGATTCCCTCCATCCCGCTCTCCTCCGCTCAGCTGCCCATCAACAACCTGCTGCCCGGCGCCCAGAGCCAGGGCCAAGGCGCCATCACCGCCAACCCCTTTCTGGCACTGCAGCATGCACACACTGAAACACACGCCTCGGGGGCACAGAAGCCACGGCTAGCCGAGAAGGCCGTGGGCGTCGCAGGGCAGGAGAAGACATGACGGCAGACGCTCTTTTTGTTTTGGTTTTTTGGTTGCTTTTCTTTAAATAAATATGCAGAGTCTCCGGGCGAACAGCCCTGTTGGTCAACTTTGTAGTTAAGCGATGAGAACATGGCAGCAGAGAAATCCATGTTCGTAGTCGGCTCTTCTTTATAGTGGTCTGTGCTAATACATTGGCACACACTATGGTGAGTGATAGCATTTCATTTGCAGTCACTCGATATTGCCAGGTTTATTTCTGCAACTTTTTCAGGTTACAGTCTTAACACAGTGTTTTTGTGTTAAATTGTACTATTTATTTCCATCCAATTTTAGAGGTTTTACTTTGTAGCTTTAGTGCTGCTTCAGGTTCTTATTTTGTCACTGTTGAGATAATGATTTTTCACTTGATATCACTGGTAGCAACTTAGCATGTAAGTGTCAGTAAGCACATGGTGTGTCCGTTCTCTTCTCCCAAACAGGTGAGTTGACTTAACAGGTCCCAGAAAACCTTTTCCTTTAATTAGTTCCTCTCAACATTTTCTTCTCTAATCTTCTGCTCTGCTTCTTTCTCACTTTTTCGTCTTTCTCTTCTTTCTCTTGTTGCTGTGTCATGCTATTTGCATCACATCTCTCGGTCCGGTTTCTCTGCTGTCTCACTTTCTCAGGGGCTTCAGTGATCAGAGTTGTGCACCCAGTGCACAAGCTAGCACATACACAGAACTACAAATTTAAAAAATAAAATATAGCAGAAATACATGAATATAAAAAAAAAAAAGAAAGAAAGTAGAGTCCCCTACCCACAGGAGTTAACAGTAGCAGATGTATGTTTGACATCTGTCTCGCAGCAGTCCCGGAGGGGAATATTGGGTGAAACGCTTGTGAAAATATCCCACATGTTCTCGCTGTTTCCTCTCTTCCCGTGTCTCTTTCACCCCGTTTGTGTAGATCCATTAATGTCATTGAGCCAAGCCTCGTACAGTCACCGCAGAAGCCTTGCTTTTGACTGTCTCTTCTCTGGGCCAGATACAGGGGGCCCTCTCAGGGAAGTGAAATGTAAAATAAGGGGGGGGGGGGGGGGTGCACAGCAAGTTGAATGATCAGAGGGATGCATTTATCCACAGCACAGACTCACAAAAGAGAAATTATGCAGTTGGTTGTCAGCACGTGGAAGTCGTTACATTTCACCTTCCTGATTGAGCCCCCCGCTACACCTACCTCTTGAGCAGGACCAGCCTATCAGGACCTAACAGGCCGACGGCAGCGGCCGCTAAAAACCCTCAACAGTCAGGACTGGCCGATCAGGGTCCAAACCCAAGTGCCTGAGGCCAAGGGGGGAGGCGGGATTTATTTTCCTTTTTACCTGTGTCCCTGTCACTCAGCCCAGTTCATTACAACTCTACTGGTAATTAAGCTGCGTTGCTAAGGCAACAAATTAAATAAACTTGGTAACTTCAGGCCACCTCTTTAATAAAACCAGGAAATACTATTCTGCTGCATTCTCTACTTTCAAAGCCAACTTTGTATTGTGCTTTTTATTTATTGGGAGTTTGTTTGTGTGATGGGCATAAGATGATATATTTTAAAAGCCTGCTGGTGTTGCAGTTAAACATCATTTTGTACTACTGTGTAAAGTTTTGTTTGTCTTTTTGTTTTGTTTTCGTCATACAGTCCATTCTTGCTGTAAACCCTTTTACTGACTTCTGCTCTGTGTTGTGTTTGAAAGCTAGAAGCTACTTGATAGTTGGCTGATGGAGAGGGTGTGGCTGTATATAGCTGTTTGTAGGGGGGAGGAAGTGTGTCAGGGGGAGGGGGGAAGTTAAGTGGCACAGTTTTTACCTCGTTAAGTGTACATAGACCTTTCTCATTGGCCGTTGGTGTACATAAGTGATTGTGATTGGCCGTGCTGGTGTGAAGGAAAGCCAATGAAGCCTCAGCTTGTGTGTGTGAATCTTTAGGACCAGACAAAAAGGTTGACAGTGACTGGACACACAAAGTATTAATTTATTTTTATATGTTCAGGGACATTGTGTTTCTTTTTTAAGTTTTGCACCATTTTGTTGAGAAGTCATTTTATACTTGGGGCACCGTGTTTTCATCTGTGCACACATTTGTTTGAATCAATTTTGTACAAGTGGAAAATATTGGGGGGGGGGGGGTTGACATTGTATTTCAAAACACCAAAATAAAGAAACACTATGGATAAAGTAAAAGGAGCATTCTGTCTTTGTATTAAAAATATACAGTACTGTGAATTTGTTCACAATAGTGAGATATTTACATTTGCTGATGCTTAAAATTATTGTTTAAATCACAACACTTACTTTTTGTGAATAATATAATGCACTTCTACTTTCAAAATATTTGTTTTAATTCCTGATAGAAAGTCTGTGGATTTGAATAGTTACAGCAGTAACAATGTCTTCAGTATATTAATTTAAATTCATTTATTATACAGTTTTAGACAGGCATTTATGCATTATGCATTATGCATTTTACATTTTTTTATTTTACTTTTATACATGGATTTGATAGGAACAGTGCTTATTGATCAACTGAACTGCAAATGAGATAAAGTTAGCCTAGTGGGCTCATTTTCATCTAGAAATTTCAAAGGGCACCCTAAAAATAAAATGAGATAGCATGTTTTAAAATGCATGTATACAACACATTACATATGCACACATTAGTATTGTACACATCCTCCAAGTAATACCGTATTATAATACATGGTAGAGCTACAATCCATACCATCATGACTTAGATGAGGAAAAATCGTGAAAGAAATCACCGCTTGTTTTTCCCCCCCAATTATGTCATCCTTGAGAACTAAATTTATTTTAAAGTAATTGACAAAATAGACAATATCAAATGATATTGTGAACAGCGTGAAACGGTTTACCTGGTTTATGTTATAATGGGATTAATTACATTAGAAATTATAGAGGAGATGGCAGCAGCAAGACGTGATTTTATTCAGTAACAAGGGGGAGGGAAATGAATAATGATCGAGCTAAGAAGTGCCAATAGAAGCTGAACATCTTTAAATTTAAACAATGTGCTTCAAGGCTCCTGTCCGAACAAATATGCGCACACCCCCCAAAGCTGATGACTTCCAGCTGCCAAGAAACAACCAGTGTGTGTGTGTGTGTTTAGAGGTGGGGGCACGATTCTGCTACATCTGCTTCTGCCCTGGTAATTAAAAGCTCACTTTCCTCCTGCCCCTCTGCTCCCCCAAAATACAACCCCCCCCCCCACCCAGGAGTTTTCAGTCCCCTTCCCCTCCCTGCACACACACACACACACACACAATCTAACCTGCATTCAACAACACGACCCCCCTTTTCGCTTTTCAAGCACTTGCTCTCACCGTGCCCCCCTACACCCCACTATCAGCCCTGTCAATCAAAGCCAGGCTGTTTAAACAGCATACTCCCACCCACCACCACCCAGAACCATCTCTCTTATAAGCCTCCACCATCAGAGCTGCCTCCCCTCCACTCCCCGTAATAGCAGCACCACCCTGCCACACACACACACACACGGGGCAGAACTGCTGTGTCCATCATCGATCACACTCTCCCAGAAAACCCTCTCTTGGGGTGGAAGGGCTTACCAGCTGATGGAGGACCCCTGTGTGCTGCCCGACCAGGTGCCTGATCACAAAGTCAAAGCACTACTAAACCCTGGTGGTGTTAGAAGATCTCTCGCGCAAGCACACACACACACACACACACACACACACACACACACACACACACACACATACACAGAGCAGATAGCACGCCAGCAGAAAGATTTAGCCCCGCACAATTAGGCAAATGTTGGGCTGTGACTATAGAAGCTACCTGCCTATGTCTGAGCAGGCTCTTTAAGTTCTAGTGTTTACACTCAGGCTTCAAAACGAAACACTGTCATCATTGTTTTTTTGTTTTTTGTTTGGTTTTTTTTTGCATTTTTCAGTGACAACAAAGCTGCAGAAAACAAAATTGCAAGAAATCAAGAAAGCTTGAAGGAGAGCGAAACCGACATTAAAGCTAGATTTGATTTTGGATTTTATTTGTATTGTACTGATTGCATCCATGAAAACCAAATGACACAGCTTGTAATGATTTGTCTGTAGAAATGTTGCTGCCAACGTGCACACACACAAATTACTACATTCACAATTTAGGTAAGTCAACTTGAGTTATGTGTGTTGCTGAAAAACGGAAATTGACTTATAATTTTGAATAAAAAATTGCATGGATCTAAAAAAAAATAGACGAGTAAAAAAAACCAAGGAACAGAGGACTTTTTATTTTTTTTATTTTTACCAAAATAAAATGCTGGAAGTCAAGTTGCTTTAATATGATGAGCAAAAGAAAAGAGGCAAAAGTTTTCTTTTCTTTTCTTTTGTATTAAATGTATCACTCACTACTTCCACTTTATGATTAAACCGGCACCTTTAAGTGTTTCTAACCAGTCCACAGGTCTACTGTGACTCCAGTTTATCACATAGGCTACGTTGAAGGCTTCAGTGCTGCTTTATGGATTGGATTCTCCCACTGCGTAAGTTAAATAAACAATTTAAAAACCCACCCATCGAAAAAAATGCACTGCCACAAAGCTGAAAGTTTTCCTTTCCTAAATCCTGAAAAGTTGGCGGTTTTGGAGACACACGGGCTTCACAGGACATTAAATTTCACATTATTTCACAGCATTTGTTGCCATCATCTTTCCCATCCTTGATACACGCAGGGCACCTCAGACGTCACACTAGAAATAAAACCATAAAACAACTTAATCAAGTGCCATGAGTAATTCCTACACAGGTTTCGGGATATGTTTGGTAATTCAGTTAAATTATTTAATTAGACCTCAGCCTCAAAGAGAGTAAGGAGCAATAAAGTTCAGAGGGGCTCCGGTGTAATAAACCATTAGCAGGAGGAGGCAGCCGCTGGTGTGTACAGTAATGCAGTGTAAATCATCACAGAGTGGCTGCCATTAGGAGGCTTAAGCCAGAAACCTGTAGTCAGCTGCCAGGGGCCCTGATCCGGTGCAGAGTGGAACCAGATCCGGCAAACAGAGGTGTTTAGAGCCGGGGTATAGGAGGAAGGGTGCAAGGAGAGTATAGGGGAACAGCTGAGGAGATTCCCAGGGTGTGTGTGCCCCCCCACAGGTCTCTCCCCTGTAGGATAATGGTGGCGAGGAGAAGCAGCGGGACTCGCCCTCATCCCTCTTCATTCCCGGATAGCTCGTATTCTTTTGCTAAGTGACACTCCTCTATCACCCCCTGACACACACGCATATGCACATCCTTCCCAGGACCCTCTCTTTCTCTCTCCCTCTCTGCCTACCAGTTCAATGGCACATTGGAGCCAAAACTGGACAAATTTCAGGACATGTGATAGGCTATGTGTCATGCGCCGTTCATTCTTTTACTTTGAAAAGCTGGCGTTGTTGATTCAGCCTCAAATTTAAAAAATGTGGCTCCGAGGGCTTAGATAAAGAAACACTTTATTTGAGACGTATATATGAGGACTTGCAGCTTAGATCAATAAAATTAAGAGATGGATGTTTTTCAAATAACTATTTGGACTTTTAGGATGATGAAGTTGTTTTTTGCATGGGAGAAAGAGAGCAGTGACAAACCTCTATCTATATGTGGGCTATTTTTTCATAGTATCATCACCGTCAGAGGGAAATTGCAAATAAATAAATTTTAAACACAACAGTAACTCTGATTTTTATGCATTTTTAATTAAAACGTTTCCTTAAAATGTTTTACCGCTGCGAACAAAAGAAAATATCAAAAGTAATAATATTAAACAGTATTTAGGATATAATATGCTCAACAAATAACTCTTAATAATGTGAATTAAATCAAAGCTGTTGCATGCAGCTACACCATATGCCCCTGTAAAATGAGCCGTAGCGGAATCACTTCATCGCCCCGGCGTAGCGTCTTCCCGGGGCTCAGCGGCGCCTGGTCCACTCGCCTGCCGCGCGGAGTGAAGCGGTGAGCGGTCAGCCAGCCGTTCCAGCCCCCGCTGCCTGCGGCTACCGGCGAAAAGAAAGCTCTGGAAAACCGAGAGGGGAGACTAACTTCACTGTGCGCCAAGAGCATATCAACTCAGCGGTGATTTAAATAAGTGATGCTGTCTGCTATTCCCCTCCGAAAGGGGAAATGCAGCTCTGCAGCAAAAGAGCTTCAAGCAGCAGATCACTGCGTCCTTCAGCTGAGGCTCCCCGTTATGCCGAACCATGAAAGATTTTCAGAGCATTCAAAATCTTTGCAAATGTTGGAATAAGCTACAAAATAATTTTCACACACTCTCCTGAAATTATATAAAATATTAGTATGTCCACTTACTGAAGCAGAAAGCGAGTGGACACCGCTCTACTGTGATATGTATTGCAAAACTTGCAATGAACATATAGCCTATAGCATAACATTCTTGTTTAATGTAACATACATGTAGCTGAGGGTCTAGTAATGTTATGATAGGCACATTTTTAAATAAACATATGACAATCATCTTATGATTATGTGACTGTGGCCTATATCCTATATTACAGTAGCCTAATATTTTATGATATTCATAAAATAACTTGTATTGAGGTTTTGGTAACTTTGTTCTTCTTTAATCAATTAATTATCCACTATATTACTATAATATCACTATATTCCACTAGGATAGGATAGGATAGTTTGCTGTGATGTTTGTGTAAAATGCACAGCCTCCTATCTGCGACCTCCAGTTTTAAAGATCATCGACCAAAGCAGGCGACTGCAGGGAAGCTACATGAACCACACGGAAATGCACTAAATTATGTATAAATTCAATTAAACTCATCCAGAACCCCCGTTTTTCCTTTGCAAATTGGCATTTTTCTTTGGCTTCTAAATGCCTTGTTGTTTTTAAAGCATGATTTGTCCATTTAACTATGGGAGTGTGGTAAAAATATATTTTATTATTTATTTACATATAATTTATTTATAAGACAACTACAGGTAACAGGCCGAATTTATAGGGATGTTTTGAGGACCTGTAAGAAATAAAATGGAAAATGGAAATTCATGATACACACACACTTAGATATAATGCATTACATCCTACCTGGGCATAAAACAACAAAAAAAAGGACAAACGTCCATATTATATTTCCTGTATTTACCTTCACTGTGAATGGGCTCTGGGTGAAGAATGAAACACCATTATAGGGACAGGTAGTGCTGGCAGAGATGAATGTAATCTTGTGGGGTTATAATGAATGTGACGGGATATAGATCTGAGATTAGATCTGTTTGATCATCAGATAAAAATAGATCAGTCACCGACAGATGATTACTTATAATTACTTTCAAATGGCTGGCTATGTGAGAGGTCTATATTAGTGACGACAGGCTGGGGGAGTTTCACGTGTGTATGTGTAATAATTACATTAAAGGTGATATGGTTGGAGAGAGTCGTGTTATAAATTATTCCCTCTTTTTGTGTGTGTTTTTATGATTAGCCAATAAACATTAGGGAAAAGCTGCAGAAAGTGCGGGATGGTGGGGGGGTCACTGCCTTGAGCAGTTGAGGGCTAAGTGCCTTGCTCAAGGACACTGCAGTGGTTTTTCAGGAAAATATGACTTGAAGCTTATTTCCAGTATTGAAATCAGAACATCAGATATTGGAGAGGAGTGGAACCACTGCTGCAATCACGATTAATGAGCCAACAACAAGCAAAGAGACCTGGGATTTCACCAACGGCAACAGCTGTTAAATGGTAAAAACCCAGGCTGCATAATGGTATAAGCTGATGTGTGTGTGTGTGTGTGAGTGTGAAGAGAGAGAGAGAGAGAGAGAGAGAGAGAGAGAGAGAGCTTTGCTCCTCCCCTGTTCATGCACCTATCAGCAGCCCTCATTTATTATGCAGGCTGGCAACCATGTGCTTGGTGGTGGTGGGGGTGGTGTGTGTGTGTGTGTGTGTGGGGGGGGGGGGGGGGGGGTAGTCATGCAAATACAAATATGTTTGTGTTGAGCTCGTTGCATCAACTCTGATGACTGAAATATTACTCCAATAAGAGATGGATGTGAATGTGTTCATTCCTGCATGCATTATTTGAATATTTGAACATGGATCACACAGTCCTTGAAAATCACAGAAAAGGAGCTGACCTGTGTCTCTCTGCTAACTCCCATCTCTGCTGTTTCCCTGTAGAGAGAGAGAGACCACAAAAAGCCACTCCTGGTCAACTGTAAAAGCTTTTCCAAACAGGTAGCCTTAACACATCTGTGGCATCTGGGACTCCTAAAATTATTGGGAAGACATGAAAGTTAGAGAATCATCTGTGAGGTTTATTTTTAAGCAGGCAAATTAATATTCTCACTGCTACAGATCAGATTAATTCACTTCTTATTTTTTTCTCTCATTGAAGGTTTGGACTTTAATGCTACCACTGGTTATCCAATATTTCCCATTACCCCCCAAAACATTTGTCTTCTTTCCTGCCCCATTAATCATGTGACGCCCCTCAGATTTATCTGGGGACCCACTGGAAGGGGTGCATCCCTCAAGTTGGGAAACACTAGACTGAACTACCTAATTACAGATAAAATAGTTAAAACTCCTCATTGACCAGACAGGCTACAACAGTAAATTACTACTTGCATAAGTATTAACAATCTGATAATGTCATATAATAACATCAGTCATCCTAGGGACCATTTATCTGCAGTGGGGTACATTTAGGTACATTTTGCTCAAGTATTTTTACTTCAGTATGATTTAGAATGCATGACTTTTATTTATTTATTTATTTATTTTACATCATTGGTACTTTACATAAGTAGATAATCTTTGTTCTATCACTTATGTATCTCTGTTATAAAGAATAAAATAAAAATAAAAAGAGCGGAAGTAAGTATACTGGAGAACCAAACACTGAATATTAATCAACAAATAGCAGGACTTCTTGATGTTCTTACAACTTATGCATTGTGATGCAAAAGACTAGTCCTCAACACTATGTAACTCAGTACATGCATATCTGTTTATCAGCTGCACAGAAACCCAACAGATCTGAGTTACATAGGAAAAGGCTCAATAATCTGCCCTGACACACTATACATGATTATAAAAGAGTATAATATAACTAGAAAGCGTATTCCCATAACTGGGAGGTATTTTTGATATTAAAAAGTAGTTTTCTCCATTAGTCTCCCTCATCCCACGCTGTTGACAAGCATTAGTGGCACGATTATAAAAGCTGTGGTCAAATCTTTTAAAAGTCCCAGGGTAATGTTGGAAATGGCCAGAGGAGAAGGGGAGAGGGGGATGGAAGAGGGATAAAGGGAGGAAGGGGAGGAGAGAAACTCAATCTAAAGCACCAGGTGCACCTTTTGTCAACATAATCTCCCAACCCTTGAGACCGCGCACACACTGGCCAACATACACAGCCTTTCATACGTACACATGCTGCCTTTCCAACCGGGGGATTTGGATGCTGGGTTGACTCTGGTCATATGTAAAAGGGGACACTTGGGTCACTGCGCCGCCAGACCGGGGATTTGGTCCATTTTGATTTAACCACATTTATGTAATAATCATATTGTAGTGATGATATGGATTAATCACAACAAAGTTGACATTGTACACAAAATTGTAGTCAAAAGAATACCTGTGCAGATTAGCATGAAGCAGGAAAAAGAAAAAATGAGCCTACATGTCTTCAGGGGAAATGCTGGCACATGTGAATTTAGAGCACATGTGCTCCTTGAGCACACACGTGTTTTCATGTGTGAGCCAGCTTTCACATTGTATTCTGACATCAAATGATTCTGCTTAAGACATTTATATACAGTAGATGAACAATTAACAAGTGATGAATTTAAATAAACATACTATAATGTAGAAGTAAGCCGATTTAAGGACATTTGTAAGGGTTTATTCATGTACTTGTCAACAACTACAACTCAACATGTGAAGTATGAATGTGTGAGCATATGAATGAGTTTTCAAAACACACTCATTAACAGTTTAAAACTGAGTCAAACCTGCCTGTGAGTGATTTGTACAAACACAATGTTCATGTGTGCAATCACATATCATTACACATTTAGTTTACAGCTATGTTCTCCTTCATATAAGAAGTTACAATTGTAGACAAGCACATAAATAAACATTTAAAGCCAGTCTATGTAACTTTGGAAAGAAGAAATAGCACTCTCTTCCTCTTGTAAATAAAATGTTTGGTCTGGTCAGACCAGGTTGGTGGCAAATGTTAGCTAATGTTAGCGAACTTGCTCTGCAAAGTGACATTACCGAGTCTGCTTTTTGACTTTATATCTTCTCTCTGCTTGTGCGACCATTACATTGTAGAATCTATCATTATCTTGTAACAACTAGCCTACATTATAGTGGGTTGTAAAGCATTTTTAACTGCTTCTATCCTGCTTATAGATGCTAAATGGGTCACATGCAAACAGAAAATGCAGTGGATGAAAAAGGGGGTAAAAAACTAATTCTTAAACAGAAGGATATGCAGAGTGGGTGTGGTTGAATGAGCTCTCAGTTTGTCTGTGTGTGTGTTGAAGGGAACAAGACCTGAGCTCACACCCATTGTGAGCCTAGAGACATGTATTGATGCCTGTCAATCAGTCCACTGGGAAGACAAGGGGGGATCAGGGGGGTGTCTGTCTGTAGAATAGAAGCAGTTGTTGTCGTGCATCTAAAAGCTTGAAATGCTGAAAACCTTGGATTGTACAAAAACACATCCTTGAATAACATTACAGGCCATGTTAATCAATGCTTCTTACCACAGTGGATTTAAGCATACTGGGCACCCCTTGTCCACAATCCTTCACCCGTCATCCTTTAAGCTCGACCCCTAAACTCCTGTAAAGCCTCAAGTGGGGACAGAGCCAAGGACGAAGCAGGCTGCTCATTGTGATTTAATCTCTCTCTGCCTCTCTCTCTACTGCCAGAACAAACATCAAATATGTCCTCCTTATCAGGCCAGCCCTGCTCTATCTATCTATCGCCAATCAATATCTCCCATTCTGTGTGTGCAGGCTTGTATGTATGTGTGTGTGTGTGTGTGTGTGTGTCTCAAGGGCTGCACTAACTAAGGTCAAAGATCAGCTATAACCCTCCAGCGTAGAATGACAGACGTGGCCGGAGGGAAGCGAGATAAAAGAAAGGGAGGGGAGGAAAAAGAAAGATATTTATACCAGTTGTGTGTGTCCTAAACAACAGATCATAAAAAACACTGTAATTGTTGTTATTATTGCTTCTGTTGTTTCTGCAGCAGGTAGCAGCAGGCAAACACCAGATCTGCTTACCTAGGTGAATGGCGGCCTTGAACAATGGGCTGTAAGCTAAGTCAGTGCCCAACCACCTTGTTGGAAACACCACCAGCTAAACGAGCAACCGTGCGGCCACACAGTGGTGAGTGTAGCTCTTTATTAAATGCTTCCTTCAGTCACGGGGAATAGGAACGAATATCAAAAGGCTTTGGCATCTTGTACTTCCTGTTTGCAGCGAGGAAGGACACACACATATACACACACAGGAGTAGATTGAAAGGTGGCATACATGCATGAAAGCCATTTTCTTCCCTGCATGGACATGAATTTGCATCGGAAAGAGAGTAAGTGTATACATATGCATGGGGGGGGGGGGTTCTGAGGTGATATGACTGGTCTGTCTGTGCTTCTACTCACCATGAAACAGCTCCTTAAAGCTGCAAAATGCTGCCGGAGATGCAATGGCTGTTAGAGATAGAAGGAGAGAGAGAGAAAGAGAGTGTGTGTGTGTGGGGGGGGTCCTTTGTTCTGTCAAGGACTTAACACAATCAGAGTGTACAGTGTGTCAGGAGCGCACAGGCATATATCAACTTCAATCTCTTTTTAATGAAAAATCCTGCCCTCTCTAATATGTGCAAATTAACCTCTTCTCCTCCCTCCCTCCCTCCTCCCCTTCTGCCGTTTCCCCTCCTCTCTCCCTTACTGAGGCCTCTCACTCCCTCTCTCGTCTCCTGCTCCCCACCCTCATTTCTGTGCCCTCTTCTTCCTCTGTTTTTGCTTCACTTTTGCCAATTTTTTCCTGTCTCCATGTCTGTCAGGGGCAAGACGATGGCAAGAGACGGAGACTCTTGCTTTCCATTTGCTTGTTGCAACACACACACACACAAGCACAGAGTAATTATCTAGATCACTTAGTTGTAAATAAATAAATAAATAAATTAGCAAAAAAACAAAGCACGAAAACATCACAAAGTCAGTGTCAGCAGCAGCATTAAAATTCACCCTCCATCCTCCCCTGCACTCTTTTGGTTTTCATCTCTGTCTCTCTTTGCTCCAACACACGCCGAATCATGCTATTACCCTGATTATCCTGATGAGTTGGTCAGATCCTCGCCTTCTCATTCTACCCATGCTGATTGTAATTTAGAAATTACACCTAATGAGGAATTTTTAAAAACACGGCGGCCGCTCTGTGCTGCCAGCTCCACGCCGCTCCCTGCCCTAATGGATTTCCTGGTATGGAATCCATTTTTCCCCCCTTTCTGCCCTGCAGGGGGTCCAGCTAGCCAGGGCCTCCCTCCATCCCTCCCTCCCTCCTCTGCTCTCACCCCCTCCCTTACCATCCTACCCTCCACTCCCCCCCGTACTCCACTAATTGGGGGCGACTGGTTTTGGTGAAAAGAAGTCATAATCATTGTTTCTGCAGCTAATTAAAGTGGTTAAGTGTACGGGATCAGCTCGCAGAATGAGGAAATGAGTATGATTAAATTTACATTTTTTTTATCTTAACAGCTAAAGTGCCAATTTCCTTTTTATGGTTTTGTTTAAGTTGTTTGAAAGTTAAACTCCATATGGCATATCTGCACAAGATATATGCATATGTTGGCATTTTTGTAGCGTCTCAAGAGACAATTTTTGTTGTAGTTGCTACAGCGTTACATTAAACTTGTATTTCATAGGTCATATCCTGAAAGATATATGTGCCTCATCAGAGAACCAACATAGCTTCTGTCACATACCATCTCTTTATTTTATGGAGTAATGCGATCCATCAAATGTCTGTAAATTATAGTTTCAACCTGTTCTATTAGTCTCACAAACACCTGTAAGATGTGTGTGTGTGTTTTAGGGAGTATTATGCAGAAATGGTGGGTGGTGGGGTGGTGGTGGGGTGGCCGTGCTGGGTGGGGAGGGTGACAAACACACTCACTCACACAGGCACACAATCAAATCAAAGCCATCAACAGCTTGTGATGAAGTGAGATGTCGTGGCATAAACAGAGTGTGCCGTTACCATGGAAGCCACTTTCACCTCACAGGCCGAGGGAGACAGGCCGAGAGACAGGAAAACACAAAGAGCTGACGAGACAGGGAGGGAGTGACAGAAAAAAAACAGTAACAGACAGACAGACAATGTGTTACAAGCGCTCCTTCAGCTACATTTAATAGCTTTTCAAACCCTTCTGGAGGTTTTTTTCGCCGGCTTCCTTTCCCTGGGAAACTGTATTTGTACAGTAAGCGTTCCAAAGAAAAGGAAAAGTTCATTGAAACGCTGTTTAATAGCTGGCTGAACATTCACAAGTTTAATGAGCACGTCGCAAAGCTACAGCAGCAGACGTACAGTGGCTGTAGAGGGGTTTTGCGGTTCTGGAGCCACATCTGTCCCTGTTTTGGCCCCCTTTTTTTTCATTCTTATTTTGGTTCTACTGCAGGTCACAGCCTTTTAGACTCTGACTTCAGATGGCTTGTAGCAACATTTATTTAGTTAGAAACAGTCTATATTGTTTGGTAATGTTGCATCATCAGTTTATAACAAGTTTTATGACCATTTTTTTATCATATCAGCTATTCGTCTCCCTTTGTCTGACATCGGTGTGGTGATCCTCCAGTAAACTTCCTGCCATCGCGCATGCATTTCACCTTGTGAGGAGAGCCATAAACAAGATTTAAAATTCACTCAGCTAGAACTGGAACAAATCACTGCCCGCATTTTTTGCGTTGCACTCAAGGTCCACTTCACTCACCAATTTATAATAATCAAGCCTGCTGCAGGAAATTGAACATAGCGACCTGGTCATATGACATCGTACAGGCTGTCTGAGCGGAGAATCACAAGCAAAGGGGCACTCTGGATATCTCCCTTCATTTGGCAGAGACACCAATGACAAATTTTCTTCCTTTATACTTTATAAATGATTCATCTTAGCCAAATGGGAACCTTTATCCATTTAATCCAGCTCATTTGCTCTCTCTGGGTTACAGCAGGTTACATTACTTCTAGAAAGGGCAGCATAGAGATTAAAAAAGGACAAGCTAATTTAGATGTGGCTTCAAAAGAGTGCAGAGAACAGATGAGCATTTCCGCTTATGAAGACATGATTTCCTTTGAGTCCAAAGTCTGTCAAGTCACTGTGTTTGCCATTTCCTTGCAGTCACTTATTTTACATGTTGGGATTTAGCCCCCCTGTGTCCTCTCCACCTCAAAGCCTCATGGCTGCCAAGTGAAAGAAGCAACCAGACTCTATAGCCTACCTTTCTGCGAAAAGGTCAGATGAGCGAGGCCGCTCTAGCAATCCTAGCTTTCGAGGTTTGCCAGGGAGGCTACAGAAGGTAATCAGAGGAAAATATGTCCTCTCCTCCTCCTCTTCTTTTAGCCCTCCATTAGACCAGCCGGCCTCTGTCTGGGAAAATTGATTTTCTCCCTCCCCTCCCTTTTTTCCCCTTCTTCTCAGGTTCCATTTGAGGCTTGTTCATCCACTCTCAAGAGCAGTTCTGCGAGACAGAGAGAAAAGAGAATAGTTAGGCCACGACAGGTTGTTCACACATATAGTTACCCACCCCTAACAGCAGCCACCAGAGCTCAAGTCTCATCTCTGTCGTCTGCGGACACACAGAAGGCCTGCATGAACTTCTTTCTTTCCTGCTTTTTTCCCTCTTTACTCATCCTCATCTGCCTAATCCTTTCCTTCCTCTCCTGTTCTTTCTCCTTCTCTTCCTCTTTCTGCTGCTCTTCCACCAGTCTTCACACTTGCAACCGCCCCTCACCGCCCTTTTCTCAGAGCCAAGTCTTGGATCAATGCACCATTGATTTTCCTATCAATGAACATTAGTATGGATCAGACTACTGCTTGCACTGCTCTGGCCTGAAAACTACACACACACACACACGTGCACGCTCATACGCATACATACATGCACTTAGGGCGCCTGTTGCCACAGGGACACAAGATTTCATCACTGCTCGGCCACAAGCACACACAAAAAAGGGACGAGCTGGGTGCTGTGGACAAAGGAGAAACAGCAATATAAATAAAGGAGGGTGGGCTTGATAAGAGAGAGGTTCTAGTTGAAAGCAGAGGAGCCAATCAATAACAGGAGTGACAGAAAGGGTAGGAAATGAAATCAGACCGAGCAGAGTTAGTGTTTGTTTCTGCGTAAAGGAAACAGTCATTGGTCAACTCCCTGCTAGTCGATCCACTGCAGAATAATTCAGTCTGATTGGTATCCAGGCTGCTGATAATAGCTGCTGATCATGACAGTGAACGGATGTGTGCGCTTTAAACACCTTTGGCCGTCTTTCTCTTTACCTCTCCTACTCACACATAGGCAAGCACGAACACACACGCGCTCACATCTCTGCCTCCCTCTCACCCTATAATGGGCTCTGAGTCAGGTGGAGATTGACACTTTTCTTTCTGCTGTGCTCCCTTTGTGTCCAACATTGTATTCATTCCACACAAACCCACAGCGGCCTCTTGGAGAGCGCATTTCTGCACACATCAGCTACATTTTGCATCACCAAACAATGAATCTGTTCTTACACTCATTTAAGCATTACCATCTTCAATTAACACCGCATTTGGAGGGGGGGAAGTGGAAGGAGGAGAAAGAGAGCGGTAAATATTTTCTATTTTTTGTGTGGCCACAGAAGCCCACTGGACTTCTACACTGACAGTCAGTCTACATTGTTTACTTTGATAAAGGAATGACTGTATAAAAGGATGTTTATAATCAACGGTCCCTTCCCGCATTAGACGCCCTGTATGTTTTTGCAGTATGTGACTGTGTATACCTGGTCGTCTTTGGGCTTTTCTTAAGTAAACTTGCATCTTTCATAATTAAATTTCCTCACATTCTCATCTCTTCCACTTGACAAACAGAGAGAGAGAGAGAGAGAGAGAGAGAGAGAGAGAGAGAGAGAGAGAGAGAGAGAGAGAGAGAGAGAAGCTGTGTGGACTGGTCTTGATAGAACAAAGAAACATCTTTCTTTGGGAGCGCTTGCATGAAAGTTGATCCTCAGTTAAGACCCCCGTACAAGGAAACTGAGATGCCTCAGGGCCGTCCTTCGCCCTGCCTGATTGTAAAGCGTTTTAATTTGGGCTGCAGTGGACGCTTGTCTGCCTCTTTTCCTATCCTGCCTACATGTAGAGGTGTGTGTGTGTGTGTGTGTGTGTGTGTGTAACTAACACAATTAATAAACTTAACCAAAAGTATTTCTAAAATAAAATTACATTTAGTTTAGTAAATTATTTACTTAGCATAATGAGTAATTTAGCTGTTTTTTTAGTTGCAGAATACATATTTTATTTTTTATTCTATCTATCTATCTATCTCCATACTCAACGGCTTGATAGTAGCAGCAGAATAGTCCCTAACAGGGACTTCTGGGCTTCAGCTGAAACTGTATATGAACATATTTTTCTTAAAAGGATCTGATTTTCACAAAGTATTGTCAAACAGTGTCACAAAGGTCTGTTGAACCCTGAAGGAAAAATATAGTTTGCAGGATAAAGAAGTTTATTTGGACATTCGGAAGGTTTGAAGAGCCGATTAATAAGTGCTTCAATATGCAAGTAGCCTTCAGAAATAAATATACTTTCACACTATGTCAAAAAAAGGAATTCACAACCATGCCTTACAATTAGCCTACAACAGTCCCTTTACGCTCAGCTGTCGTTTAGACTTGTGCAGCAGCTCTGAAACTGGCCTTGAGTTTAAATGTCTGTATTTCCCACAGACTGCAGCCAAAAGGTGCTGATAAAAAAAAATGTTGTACTTGCTGGTGTAAAGCCTGCCGCCCCTTTCATCCCTCCTGGACACAACACAGATGGCCGACCATGAGAGTGGGCTGTTGTGGACTTTTAAGAGATGAACTATGGAGGTGAAAGGAGGAATATTCATGGATTTTATTGCTGGATCAATGATATGTGACATGTCAACCATGCCAAGACTACAACCTTCCTAACCACAAAGCTCAATTACTCACTTAACACACTTTGAGCTAAACCTCTGCCTCTTATTGAGGCTTTAACATTTGCACTGACTGACCTGTGAATCAACCATTCACCAAAAACACAGTTGTACCACTGGCAAATCATTGATGTGCTCATCCTAAGGGAAATGTGCCACTTCCAAACCAGCAGCAACAATGCTGAAAAGGTAACTTCAGAGTTCTTACAATGTTACAAAACAGAAGGGAGTTTTGGTTTTAGGTTAAGATACGTTTGCATCACTTTCTTAGATTGAAACAATGCTCTAAATTTTGAAGCAATGCAGCGCTAATGTGCTGAACTGGGAAAGACCCTAACTGCCTGTTGTCCTCAGTTAGCGGCAGGGTGAGAATGGCGGGTCCAACGTGAGAATAAAAAAAGCAACAATCCTCATGTCTAATTCTTTTCTAAAACTCTAACTTCTCTTGTAACACATATATAGTCGATAAACTACTCTCTCAGTTTGTGCGACTTGCCTGTCGTGCTCGGTGCGAAGCCGCCGTGCCGCGGAGCTGAGCAGGACGTGAGGGGAAACCGAGCTCCTGACAGCGGCTGCAGCAGCAACAGCAGCCGGCAGGAAGCTGCTTTTCACCGGCAGGCAGGAGGAGGAACAGCTGCCCCCTGCGCGCTCGGGGAAACACCGGCTCTGTCGCCATTTACAAAGTTAGCCTGAAAAATAGTATAGTATTTAGGCTATAATTTAAAAACTGTAATTTAAAATATATGATGATAGGCATAGTATTGTATTTTGCCAACATAGTAAAGCTAAAGGTTACAGACACAATGAGAGAGATCTTTTAATTTTGTGACAACGTCACATGAAAAATGTCTGAAGACCAATTTCTGTCAGCCTGTTGTTCATAAAAAATGCTAATATTATAAATAATTATAACATAATAATTTAATATATTAGGTAGTTTGACGTAGGCCTATATGTTTTATTTAGCCTATCTGTGGCACTAAATTATTCTTCATGAGCCTAATTACTTGGCCATGTTACTTGAAACATAGCATGTTTTATCCTTTATTAGAGGATTAGCCTATTGTTATATTAGAATATTGGGTTGTAAATTTTCATATATTTTTTTAATATGCATTTGAAGCGCTACACATATGAAAAGGTGAACAGCAGGTTAAAGACTATAAGCCCTGTTATTGAATTTTACGTCAGGTGATATTTGCATTTAATATCCCTCCGCCACACATCGGCCTGCCATATTGTAACTGTGACAGACAGGCTTAAAGGGCTGTAATTGCAATCGCATTGAACCCCAAAAGCTTTTATTGTCAGAGTATGATTAGACACACACACACACACACACACACACACACACACACAGCTGTAACCAAGCTTATTTTAGACTTTGGATGTAGCCTATACTTTTATACATCTCCTGCAAAAATCACCACGGATCTGTAGGCTTACATTTAGGGCTCCATGCCTTTTAACCAGTGACGCTGCCTGATGGTGGTGATGGTGCTGGCTGTAGAGATGGTGAATTAGAGCAGGCATGCGCGCTCTGGTAGGTGAATGTGAGCCATTCAAATTTCCATATATGTCCTGTCACAAGGGACCCCCCCCCCCCCCCTTCCTCCCATACCCCTTCAAACACACACACACATACACCCACCCCCCCCGCCTCCCTCCTTTCTTTGTTCCCCTCCGATGATTCCCTCTGAGCTCCCCACAGGACAGAGGGAAGCGAGAAACCACACCACTGCCACCCAGCGGCCGCGGAGGCGCATTTGACCGTGCGCGCGTACTCTTTGTTGTTAGTCCCAATCTCCGTGCATTTCTATCAGCGCGTATTTAAAAAAAAAAAAAAAAAATAAGCCGCCGGAGCCTTTTACAACTTTGCCACATTTTACAAGCATATTCATGCACAAGGCCGCTCTCTCCCGCCATTTTGCATTCAGTGTGTCGGCTCGACCCGGCCGCTGCTGCGCCGACACACCCAGGGGCCCTGTTGAAGTGTCCTTGAGCAAGACACTGACCCCATGCTGACCTCTGGGGGGGGGGGGGGGGGGGGGGGGGGGTTTGTCCTTCTGAGCTGATTATCATCGGAGGGATGCATCTGCACTTCTTCCTTTCACCACTATATCTGAGGGATTACTAATCAAAATGATCATATAAAGAGTAGCCTACAATATAGGCTCTGCATGACAACAATTTAATTAGCTCTATATATAGGCCTAGCCTAGTTAATGGGGTACTTAACAGGCAGACGTTAATTACAGATTTTATTTCTGCAGGGCATCCTCTCTTGTCTGCGCCTTAAAATGGGATTAATCAATCATATTGTTGCACATTCAATTCAATCTGCTAATACAAACGGTTTCATATACCTTATTTATTTGTTTGTTTATTATGCTTGTATGTAATTTATTATTCCATAATTTGTGATGTATGTAGGCAGTTCAGAAGAAGTGCTCTTAGAAACAGAACATTCCAGGAAATAGGATGATCAGTAAAATACATAATTTCAACGTCATAAAAGCAGCACAGTGCGTTCGTGTGAAGGGAAGGGAAGGAGGGGATGGGAGATGTTTTTCCAATAGGGGGCAGAATCACTCTGCAAAAAAAAAAATCTCTCTCTCATTCGCTCACTCTTTCTCATTGTCCCTTTCTGCATCGCGTGCGCAAAAATGCACGCACTCAGAAGCGCAGACATGCACACTGCCAATGCTTTAGGATCTGTTGTTTTCACCTCCTGCCGGCTGCCTTGAAAATGACCTTTAAATAGCCTTATACTAATTTGAGCTCGGTGTGTGTGCTGTTTGTTTAACAAATCAACTTTTGAGCCAGATCAGAGAAATTCACTTCCAGGGTGCCTCGTCTATTTTAGCAAATGAAGCAGAAGGTTGCTGGGACCCCAACACCTAAAACGTTAAACAGATTAAACAGACTTGATGCTTATCAAAGTGCAAAAGCAAGTTGTCTTTCCTCCGGAGAGCTGACATTAAGTTCTCCTCTAAGATTGCTGGAATTAGTTTAAACTTAATATAATAACCAC